GGGTGATTTATGAGTGTCAGTTCTCAACATTTTAAAATGTTTTCTATGTAGTTTTTACAATATGATCTTAGCAACTTACAAAATATCTCAGTATATAGTCCATGCCACCCCTCTCCTTTGGTGAGGAAACCAGGCCCAGGAGTGAGAAGCCTGTTTCTGATGGAGAAAACGGTTTTTTATCCAAGTGACTCCGGGGACATGAGTCATACCTATGAGGATTTTTTGTTTGTTTGTTTGTTTGAGATCTTAGTTCCCTGATCAGGGATTGAGCCTGGACCCTGGCAGTGAAAGCACCAAGTCTTTTAACCACTGGACCACCGGGGGATTCCCTATAAGGTTTTTTTGGGGTTTTTTTTGCGGTACGTGGGCCTCTCACTCCTGTGGCCTCTCCTGTTGCGGAGCACAGGCTCTGGACGCGCAGGCTCAGCGGCCATGGCTCACGGGCCCAGCCGCTCCGCGACATGTGGGATCTTCCCGGACCAGGGCACGAACCCGTGTCCCCTGCATCGGCAGGCGGACTCTCAACCACTGCGCCACCAGGGAAGCCCTTATAAGGTTTTTTTTAAACAACCTTATTAAGATATGATTCACATAGCATACAATTCCCCCAACTAAAGTGTATAATTCAATGTTTTATTGTATTCACAGCCAATTTTATAACATTTTCATTACCCCAAGAAGAAACTCCACACGCCTTAGTATCACTCCCTAATCTCCTCCTCCCTCCCCTCCAGCCCCTGACAACCACTAATCTACTTTCTGTCCCTATGGATTTGCCTCTACTGAACATCTCACTTAAATGGAATTATACCACATGCTGACTTTAGTGTCTGGCACCTTTCACCGAGCCGCACTGTCTTCAAGGTTCATCCACATGGTAACATGTATCAGAACTTCATTCATTTTTATGGCTGAATAAATTCCACTGCATGGATAGACCACATACAGGCCAGAGCAGGTATTTCAGAGGGAAACACGGATTATGGATTGACCCAGCAGGTGCTGATCCTGCACGGTGGCCCAACAGGAGAGTGGTGTCTGCAGAGTTGGGGGGCAGCTGCCAGGCGGCCTGGGTGAGAAGGAAGGGGTATGGACTGTTCCTGCAAAGTCTAACTGTTGAGGGAAGGAGAGAGTCTTGTGAGGTTTTGTTTTAGGATATAGGAGACCTAAGAAGATTAGGACCTGAGAACTCTAAATGCAAAGACCCAGAGGAGGCAGAGAGGTTTGGAGACCAGAGAGAGCAGGATATGAATGATGGAGAAAGGGCCCCCGGGGGGTGGAGTGCCAAGGGAACTGGACGGGACACTTCATTTACCAAATCAGGATAAAAATTGTATGCTGTCTTTATCCAGGCAGTGATGATGAGTCATTAGAGCTTAGGCAGCATCCATCCTCAGTGCATAAATTGTGAAAGAGAGAGAAATTGTAAAATTCAGAATCATGGAGGGATAACTTTAGTTAATCAGAAATCTGCATTGTATGGAGAACCTCATTCACCAGTATGGTAGGTGGAGCATTACTATGTATGGTTTGTTATAGTTGGGTTTTTTTGGGTTTTTTTGTTTTTGTTTTTTTGCGTGTCTGTTAAAATATACCTTACAAAAATGTACTAGTTTGATCATTTTTTTAAAAAAATTTTGGAGTATAGTTCCTTTACAATATTGTGTTAGTTTCTACTGTACAGCAAAGTGAATCAACTATACGTATACATATATCCCCTCTTCTTTGGATTTCCTTTCCATTTAGGTCACCACAGAGCACTGAGTAGAGTTCCCTGAGCTATACAGTAGGTGCTCATTAGTTATCTATTTTATACATAGTATCAATAGTGTATATATGTCAATCCCAATCCCCCAATTCATCCCAACCCCCACTTTAATCATTTTTAAGTGTACAGTTCAGTGGCATTAAATACATTTGCACTGTTGTGCAACCATCACCACCATCCATCTCCAGATCTTTTTCATCTTCCCAAACTGAAACGCTCCCCACTAAACACTAACTCCCCATTTCCACTCCCCCCAGCCCCTGGCAACTACCATTTGACTTTCTGTTTCTATGAATTTGACTACTCTAGGTACAACATATACGTGGAATCATACAGCATTTGTCCTTTTATGTCTGGCTTATTTCATGTTACAGACTTTTTAAATAAGTAATTCTTATTTGCTATCCTTTATACTTAATATTTTTATTCCTTTCACTGGGTTACCAGCCCTTTAAATGTGATAATCTGAGGGATTTAAAATTTGTGTAGCATGGCCCCTAGAGTTCAAGCGTTCAAAAGCACTTTGATATTGGATATTTCACAACCATTAGTATTAATTCATCTGTCAAAAAGCCAAAACTGACTAGGTTCAGTCACTTGCCAAGAATATCAGTTACTGCTGCATAACAAATGAGCCCTGATCTTATTGGCTTAAAATAACAGTAGTTTATTATTGATCAGGGTTCCATGGGGTGCCTGGGCTTGTTTCCCCAGGCTCCTTCTTGTGGCTACACAGAAGTGGAGGGTCTGCTGGACTGGACACTGGAAATGGCCTCCCTCCATGCCTGGCAGTGCCTCCATCCCTTGCATGTGGCCCTTCATACAGCTTCCTTCTCTGGCAGTCTCAGGGCCCCTGTCCATGAGGGTGAGGGCGTCCAAACCCCCACAGCGAGCTTCTGCCACTCTCTATTGGCTACGGCAAGTGACCAATGTGGGCTGGAGACCAGTCCAGATTCAAGACCGCATGGCAAAGGGGCCTGCATACCTTATGGGAGGATCTGTGGTCATTAAACAGTCTACACTTTAAGGCCCTTTAATGGTTGAGAATGGGAACCGTCAATCGAATCGAAATTCAAGCCCACTGGCAAGGAGCCAAGCCTATCCACAGTCTGTAGTCAGCCACAGTTCAAGGTCTTTTGTTGCGCTGGAACTTGTTCCATATCCTTTGAGGTACAGAGATTTTAGTTGAGAGAATTACACTGACTCGGGGTACACATGACTCTGGGTACAGTTTCACGGGAATGTGGGTGTTCTCTGTCATGCCAACCCCCAGTGGCCTGAAGGAGGCCGGGCTTCGGCATCTGATCGCTTGAGACTGAGGCCATTGGTGTGTCGGGGTCCCTGCAGCCTCAACTCCTGTCCCTCTGCACGGCGGGGACCAACCGCATGGTCCTGTAGGAACATGCATGCTGGGTGGACAGTGACCGCAACGTTTTGGGGGCTTGAGTTGTCTGAAAGGCCTGTGGAAGGGAAGGCCAGTTTCTCTGCGCCCTCTCGCCCCGTTGAGGAGAGGACGCCCGGTGGAGACCAAGTTCATTCGCCCGGCAACCCGGAGCGCGCAAGCCCCGGAGGCGGGCTGCCGGCGGAGGGACGTGGGCAGAGACCAATCAGCGAGCGGGGGCGGGGGGCGTGGCTTCCCGCGTAACCCTTTCCCGCCCGAGCGGCTCTGCACGCGGAGGCGCCGGCGCTGTCTTGCTGCGGCCGGTCCCCATGTACCCGCAAGTCCCCAGTACCACTACATCGCCCTGTGGGGCGGGATGGGCAGAGCGGGGAGGACTGCACAGGAGGAGCAGGGGTTGGCTTGTCCGGGGGCCGGAGGAGGATGACGCTGGAGGACAGACCTGGCCGGGTACTCCCAGTCCTGTGTCCCGTTACCTGTTATCCGGATTTCCTAGAGTCTCGCCCTTCAGGACAGGGCTTTGGTGCTGCCCGGGGCTGGGCGTGCAGGCGGTTTGGGAGAGGTTGTAGGGGACACGGCGCCCCCTGCACCTTCGGCCTTGGCTCCGTCTCCACGGGGACCCAGGAGCCCCGCGCTTGGGCTGACAGGCCTTGGGGAACTGAATGTGGGCCCCAGACCAGGAAATGGCGGAGCAGGAATGGGGGACCCAGGTATTAGAACCGTAGAGCTTGGGATGGGGATGACAGCTCACAGGTGGGGAAGCTGAAACGTGCTGGGAGGCCGCATCCTGTTTCTGGGCTAGTACTGATAGATGGGAAAGACCCTGACATGCACCCACCACCCAGTCCCCCAGGAAGACAAAACGGCCACTTATGCCCCCACACTGATGCCCCAGGGTCCCGGTCTCCAGGCCAGCCCTGCCTGTCATCCATCCTTTCTGCTTCTCCAGACCAGAAGCCAAGGAGCCCTCAGTGACCACGGATTCTCTGGACACCTCCACAGCCCTGTCCCCACTCAGCTGAGGCAGAGCCAGCACCAGCTCAGACACAAGGTCGCTGCCCTCGTGGGGCCCTGGTGTCCCCTAGCACTGGGTGCCCCGGGGCCTCTTGCCTGGGATGGGGGATGGATCTAGTTGTGAATCCAGAGAGTGCCTCCTCCCAGGGCCAGGCTCCTCCTTTGGGGTCTGCAGAGTGCCAGCAGGGGCCCAGCCCATGCTCCCAGTGACACAGTGTCAGGGTGAAGGGCACCAGGCATTCTGGGAGGGTTGGTGACCTGAACTCATGTCCCCAAAGTGCTTTTCCTCAACGCCTGGTGCTCAGGAAGACCGGTTCCTGTTATCCTGGATGAGGTACCCCAGGTGCTGTACGGGCGGGCTCTGGACCCACCTTGACTGGACTCCCAGCTCTGCCTTCATGGCTGCATGCCTCAGTGTCCTCATCTGTAACCTGGGTCAATGAGAAAGATCAACTTTCATAACATGGGGCTGAAGGTTAAATGGAAACACCTGTGGAAGCACTTCACCGTGTGCTCAGCACCTGTGGGCCTGGATTCCTAGTAACTCACAGCTGTCAGCACCTTGGTCACCCCAGTAGCCCCTTGAGAGCCCTGTTTTGGGCACATTTTGTAGATGGGAAAGTGAGGTTTGGCTGGGAGAGGTGACGGACCCAAGGCTACCAAGAGAGCAGAAGCACCAGCCCAGGGTTCTCTGGCTCCATTCAGGTCCTTTCCTGGGGGCACCGAGGCAGCCCCATCTGCCCCAACCTCCAGCCCAGATTCTTCCTGAACCCAGGTCCAAGGGCACCTCCACTGATGGGATTTTGCCTCCTGCCTTAGGACGGAGCCCTTGAACTGCTGGGTTCCTTCCAGGGAGGTGGAGGAGAAATCCCATCTGCTGGGGCCTGAGCGTGGCCTGGGGGCCAGGCCATCGGTCCCAGAATGCCCCTGCCCGAGCCCAGTGAGCAGGAGGGCGAGAGCGTGAAGGCCGGCCAGGAGCCCTCCCCTGAGTCCCCTGAGCCGGGCACAGATGTCGTCCCTGCAGCCCCCACGAAGCCCACGGAGTTCTCCGAACTGGTCCTACTGACAGCCTCCACTGAGAATGGGGATGGAGTGGACTCCCAGCCCAAAGCAGTGCACTGTGTCCTGTCCTTGGAGATGTCTGGCCCTGACACCCTGGCTGGGACCCCCCAGATCCTGCCAGTAGAGGAACAGCAGGGGGCAGTCCAACCAAGCCCCCAGGCCCAGGAACTGAAACACAGCAAGCCAGACACAGGTGAGTTCCGGGCCAGCTGCCCCTGTCTGGCCACTTTTGTGGCCCTGCATGCTCAGACTTGGGCTTCGCATACTCCCCTTTCCAGTGAGGTGACCTTAGCCATCTCTTCCCTGCTCTGAGCAGGGCCTCCTGGACCTTGACCCAGGCTGGTGTGATGATCGCAGGACGTCATCCAAGGGCACCCCAATCCCTGTGTTCCCATCTGTGCCCCTGGCTCAAGCCTTGCTCTGTGTCAGCTGACCTGGCCCTCCCCTTGCCTTCAGCAGCCCCCCAGCCCCTGGAGTTCCTGAGGACCCCATTTGGGGGCCGCCTGCTGGTGCTGGAGTCCTTCCTGTACAAGCAGGAGAAGGCTGTGGGGGACAAGGTATACTGGAAGTGCCGCGAGCACACCGAGCTGGGCTGCCGGGGCCGGGCCATCACCCGTGGCCTAAGGGCCATGGTGATGCGGGGCCACTGCCACCCGCCCGATGAGGAGGGCCTGGAGGCCCGGCGCCAGAGACAGAAGCTGCCCAGCCCAGCCCTGCCCGAAGGCTTGGGGGATCCCCAGGGCCCCGGCGGCCGAGTGGAGGAGCCCCTGGAGGGGGTGGGCCCGTGGCTGTGCCCCGAGGAGCCGGAGCCGGCCCCGGGGCCAGTGCTGAGCAAGCCAGCTCCCGAGGAGGATGAGGGGCTCCGAGCCCTGTCGCTGCTGAGCTTGCCTCCCAAGAAACGCCCGACGCTGGGGACCGGTGAGTGCCCCCCCACCCCGGCTCTACTCTCAGGCAGGTGGGAACCACAGCCCTTTCCTCTGCCCAAAGATAAATGTGGGTCCCACGTGGCTTCATAATGTGCTCAAAGTCAAAACGATTTTTAAAATATAAATGTGTCCAAGTAATCATTAAGCCCAAGGGGTAGAACTAATGCTCGTGAGCCAGGCAGCCTAGGTCCTTCTGGAGCTTCCTGATGCAAAAACCTGAGGTTTATGGACCCCACGTGATTCTGGTAACCTTTGAAGTTTGGGAAGATCGGCCTGGTGGGAGGCTTGAGCCTTGTGCCCCAGGTTCAAGATCCAGCTCTGCCTCATGTAGCTGGGCAGCCTTGTTGAAGCACTGCAGGTCAGGAGGTCGCTCCTAAGATGTGTGATAGCCTCGCCATTAGGGGATCTGGTGCTGCAGTGCCAGCCCTGGTCCAGTGTGTGTTGTCACTGAGTAACTGGTAGATGGAGTCTTTGCAGAGGTTCTTATTCTTTGTTTGTTGGGTTTTGTTTTGTTCTTTGTGGCAGTTTTTATTACCAGTAACTGGGAGGTGGGCTTGGTCCCATAGGCTGGGTGCCTCCAGACCTGGAGAGGATTGAAGGATTTAGGGATTTAAGGCGGCTGCTGTGCTGGGTGCCGGGGGCTGGGTGAGAAGGACTTGTCTTTCACTGTGTATCTTTTGGTCCCATTTCATTTTATGGCATGTGCATGTGTTATTCGATAATTAGATACAATTTTCAAACAAACCCTAAGAAAAAGTATGGCCGGGAGTGACTGAGCAGGCAGGGTGTGGCATCGGAGGCAGCTTGGCCCTCTCCAGTGTGTGACCTGGGACGTGGTGCTTGACCACCCAGAGCCGTGGCCTCCTCACCGGCCACCAGGAGAGGAGCCACACAGCCTCCTTGGGGCACTGGGTGGGCAATCAGTGGGGATGCATCCAGGGCCCTGACCTGCACGGTAAACTAAAGGAGCAGAGCTCTGCCAGCCTGCACCTGCCCAGCCCCCTCTCCACTTCCTCCTCCAGGAGGGCCCCCGCCCCTGGAGTTCCTGAGAACCTGCTATGGGGGCAGCTTCCTGGTGCACGAGTCCTTCCTCTACAAGCGGGAGAAGGCTGTGGGGGACAAGGTGTACTGGACGTGCCGGGACCACACGCTGCATGGCTGCCGCAGCCGGGCCATCACACAGGGCCAGCGGGTGACTGTCATGCGTGGCCACTGCCACCCGCCTGACGTGGAGGGTCTGGAGGCCCGGCGGCAGCAGGAGAAGGCCATGGAGTTGCTGCGGGCCAGGCCGGGCGGCCCCGGGGGCCAAGTGGACAAGCTGCTCCAAGGCGTGGACAGCCTGTTCTACCGCAGGGGGCCGGGCCCCCTGACTCTCACCAGGCCCCGGCCCAGAAAGCGGTCAAAGGCCAAAGATCAGGACTTCCTGGCCCAGCCGCAAGGCGAGGAGGACCAGGACGAGGACCTGGGTGAGTCCACACCCGCTGGCCTGGCGCTCTGCCTGCACTCCAGTCTTGCTCCCCGAGGTCCCAGGAGGTGGGAGGGGGGCGATGCCAGGCCTGGCCCAGCCCCAGGCCCTGCTCCGGCTCACACCCCAGCTTCCAACCTCCCTCCCCTGACCCCCTCTCCCATTTCTCCCCAGGAGGCCCTGAGTTCCTGAGGACCCCTCTGGGGGGCAGCTTCCTGGTGTACGAGTCCTTCCTCTACAGGCGGGAGAAGGCGGCCGGGGAGAAGGTGTACTGGACGTGCCGGGACCAGGCCCGCATGGGCTGCCGCAGCCGAGCCATCACCCAAGGCAAGCGGGTGACAGTGATGCGAGGCCACTGCCACCCGCCCGACCTGGGGGGCTTGGAGGCCCTGCGGCAGCGAGAGAAACGCCCTGGCACGGCTCAGCGAGGGAGCTCTGGTAGGCCAGACCGGGGAGCGGCCTCGGGGGACAGTCAGAAGACCCAGACTGCCCACCCCGTTCCCTCTTGACCTCCAGCAAGCATCCTCCCCGTCCTTACTGGGGACCCTCTGGAAGGTTACAGCTCCCTCCTGTCTCATCTCCCTACCCCCACACCCCCTCCTGGTCCACCTCACCTTATCCCCAAGTCGATTAGGTGACTTGGGGCATCACCCTTTCTCTTGGGCAGTAGGCCTCACTCTCCTGCTCAGACCAGCCCAGAATCTCTGCAGCACTTGACCAACCCAGGCTCCCTTTCCTCCTTCTCATCCTTTCTTTTTTCTTAAGAATGTATAGGATTCATAGAGAAAGCTAATTGCACAAGCTGGTTTCTCATTTTTCCAGTGTGGGTGGCTGACACCGTGCCCGGTAATAAGCACGTCCTACAGATGTGGCTTAAGGGCTGAAGGTGACCCGTTCCTGTCATTGACTTCTGTTCTCCTCCAGCTGTTCTGCCTGATCATCTACCATCGTCCCTCTGGGCTCTATGACGAGGGTCACAGCCCCCCTCCTCCCACCTTTGTCGGCCCCACAGTGCTTATGTTTGACTCTCGTGGCCACAATAACGTGCATATTCCGGCTCATCTTGCTAAGAGCAGCCTCGGCCCAGCCTTCTCTGCTCCCTGCTCTCCCTCGGGGGTTCCCAGTCCCATACTTTTCTGAGTCATCTGAGTCGCCTTTAGAGCCTTTTTGGCCCTAAAATTGTCTCAAACTCGAGATCTCTGATTTTTTTTTTTTTTCTGACTCTTTTTATCCCATTTCCTTATAACTTCTATGTACCTAGGGATGATCTAGCCTCGCCCCGTCCTTACCCCCAACTCCCACCCCAAATAACCACTCAGCCATGGTTCCTTTTTTTGTTTTCTTCCTTCCTTCCTTCCTTGCTTCCTTTTTTAATTTTTTGGCTGTGCAGAACGGCATGCAGGACCTTAGTTCCCCAACCAGGGATTGAACCTATGCCCCCTGCAGTGGAAGCGCTGAGCCTTAACCACTGGACCACCAGGGAAGTCCCCTTTCCGTTGTTCCTTAGGGCATCTGCTGCCCTCTTCCCTAAAGCGTGCTTCCTTCCATTGCTGTCAACTGTTTTTTTATTTCCTGTTGACTTCCGACCAGAGACGGCAAGGACCCAGCAGTTACCCACTGCCCCCTCCTCTCGAGGCAGCTGTTGCACTTTTTTTATTTAATAAATTTATTATTTATTTATTTATTTTTGCCTGCTTTGGGTCTTTGTTGCTGTGTGCAGGCTTTCTCTAGTTGTGGCGAGCAGGGGCTACTCTTCATGGCGGTGTGTGGTCTTCTCATTGTGGTGGCTTCTCTTGTTGTGGAGCACGGGCTCTAGGCACGCAGGCTTCAGTAGTTGTGGAACGTGGGCTCAGTAGTTGTGGCTCGCAGCTCTAGAGCACAGGCTCAGTAGTTGTGGCTCGCGGGCTTAGTTGCTCCGCGGCATGTGTGATCTTCCCGGACCAGGGCTCGAACCTTGTCCCCTGCACTGGCAGGCGGATTCTTAACCACTGCGCCACCAGGGAAGCCCCACTGTTGCACTTTTGTTCTATAAATCTGTCCACGGCTGAGTGGGAACACACTGCAGTGGAGGTGTGGCTGTTTGTGGCTCCTTTTCCATGGTTGTCTGGTGTTTGTGCTCGAATGACTGCATCTTTCCAAGGTGCATACAGGGGGTCTTTGCTTGAAGGTATAGGGTCGTGTCTCCATCCCTGTGGTACCTGGCTCTGCTGGGGGCACTTGGGGCCTTTTCAGGCCGGAAACCATGTCCTTCACTTGTAAAAATTTTCTCATGTTCAGTGCCTTTCGAGTCCCCATTTTTCTGACATTTCCTTGATTTTGCTTTCCAGTCCTTCTATTTAATTTTTAACTTTCACTCTTGTATTTGAACTCCTTTGCATTCCATCCTCTGAGGAGTGCAGCGGCCCTGCCATCCAGCCTCTGGCAGTGGCCTTGTTTTCTCCAACTACCTTTTCTGTATGAGTTTCTTTAGTCTCTGCCATTCAGGGTGAAGCTTCTCTCTCTTTTTTTTTTTTTTTTTGGTCAACTGGTGAAATTTTCCAGCCAGGTACATGCCATTCAATTTTCTGTCGATCACACAGTTGTATAAAGCAGCAAAACTAAAGGGGGAATGATTGTTGTATATACTTTAAATTGCTTTGCATGGTCTCATTTGTGATGCTTGATGTAAGAGTCTTGACTTTTTCATCATGTAAGATGGTATGAGAACCTTTGACCCACGTGGCCAGTGGTCCCTAGCCAGGTTTAAGGAGAGACCCACACGCTCCGTATGTGCGTGCCGACCAGGCGACCCTCGAGACCCCAGGCCTCAGAGCCCTAGGACCAACCTCCTGCAGCGATTTCAGCCTGGCTGCCGGCTCCAGGGACTTGGGCAGGGAAACAGGGAGTTTCATGTCAGTGCAGACTTCCTCCTCCTCCCCCACACCCCAGACTCTTCCTCCCCCAGGGCGGGCACCTGTCTTATTGCTCTTCACGCAGACAGTCCTTGTCAGTCCCCCTGTTTGGGGCCTGCCCTAGACCCCTACTTCGGAGGGACCTCGGGCCTCCCTAGGTTTGGCCACTGGACTCTGCTTGTTCTGAGAGTCACCCCCTGAGGCTGGGCGAGCTCTTGCTTTGCCAGGTCTGTGACCAGGTGACCCCCTTTGCCCAGCGTCTAACCTGGGTCAGCATCTCTGCCATCTCCTCTCCTCTCTGAATTTCTGGCCTCATGCCCTGTGCCTTTTTCATCCCTCAGTGAACATTTTCATTGGGTGCTGGGGGAGCAGAAACATGCCCCACATCATATACCTCCCCTTCGGCCACTCACCCCCCACCCTGGCCCCCCCTTCTCCAGGGCATTCTCACCAACCCCCCACTATGGCTGCCATCCCTGCTGCTGTGCTGACGGACCCCCGAATCCCCCTCCACCCCTCCTGTGTGGTCCTGGTGCCTGGGCAGCGGGAAGGGAGTCCTCAGAGCAGAAGGGCGTGGCCACCTTCCAGGTCCCCCCTCTCAACACGTCAGGACAGTGGCCCAGGCCGCTCCCTGCCTCCCCTCCTGCCCTCAGGTCAAAGCCCACCCAGCCTGGCTCCCTGGGTGAGTGGACCCTCCTACAGCCCCACTGCTCACCACGCACAAAGGGCTGCACGCAACTCCCATTTCGCTCCTGGTTGCTTATCCCCCGTAGGGCCTGTCCACTAATTCCTCCAATTTAGCAGGGGCGAGAGGCCCTTGTGCCATCCCATTGCCGGCACCTCAGATAAGACACCGCCTTCCTGCAGGCGCCGCGAGGTGGAGGAGACGGACTCTGCCTTCAGCGATCTCCACCTCACCAGTCTCCCGCCTCCCTTCTCTCCCAGGCTTGGGAAAGGAGCCCTGGGAGCTCAGGCTAGGCTGAGTCTGGGGGATGGGGGGCCTGTGTCCTGGGCTGTGAGGAGGTAGATGCAGCGTGGGGTGGGGTCCGTGGGTCTCATGCCAGGAGCCATGCTGCTCTAGGCTCTGAGAACGGGGTCACGGCCCCCCTCATTCCTCAGCTCCAGGCCTGGCTCCAGGCTCTTCCTCCCCCGACCCCCTCTCCCATTTCTCCCCAGGAGGCCCTGAGTTCCTGAGGACCCCTCTGGGGGGCAGCTTCCTGGTGTACGAGTCCTTCCTCTACAGGCGGGAGAAGGCGGCCGGGGAGAAGGTGTACTGGACGTGCCGAGACCAGGCCCGCATGCGCTGCCGCAGCCGAGCCATCACCCAGGGCCAGCGGGTCATGGTGATGCGCAGACACTGCCATCCGCCCGACCTGGGGGGCCTGGAGGCCCTGAGGCAGCGGGAGCAGCTCCCCAGCCCAGCCCAGAGGGAAGGCTCAGGTGTGGGTGAGAGGGGCGTGGCACGGGCCGGGCCCGGTCTCCCTGCTGGCCCAGCAGCCCCTGGGGACTCAGAACACAGGCTGGAGGCTGCCTGCTGGGACATTCCTCCTGTGGCCCATGTCCAGTGGTGTCTGTCCTCCTGGTCTGTGGGCTCCCTTAGGGCAGGGGCCACATCTGGACTCCACACTAATGGCACTGGTCCTCATCTGGGATGCGCTGTCAGTGGGAGAAACCCACTCAGACCACTGGAGAAAACGGGGCCAGGGGCTGCAGTGGCATTACTGGCAGCTGCAGGAAATGCTCGGCACCCATTTGTGGGGCAGTGCTCCTGGACCTGGGGGACCCTCTGTCTCCCCTCTCCCTCCCCACCCCTGCCAGTGCCTTCAGCCACCCCAACCCCAACATGTCAGGAGCTTTCAGTTCAGATTCTTAAAAGTCTCAAAAGGGAGAATTTGATTGGTTGCCAGCTGGCCAAGGGGAGGGTGAACAGGGAGCCGGGAGGCCCCTAGTGCACTGTCCAGACCAACCATGGCCCTTCCAGCGTATTCCATTTCAGCCCAGCCCCTGCCCTGGGGTGCTTGCTTGCCGGCCAGCATGAAGGCCGAGCAGGGTCAGGAGAGGCCCGCAGGAAAGCTCAGTGTTTGGGCGGCTGCAGGGCCAGCCTCCCCGGTCTGCACTCCAGGGCATCAGGGCCGTGGTGGCTTGAGCTTCAGTCCCCAGGGCCCTGCAGCACAGGCTGGGGTGGAGGGCAGGGACCAAAGAGGGACCTGCGGGGGTTGGGGGGTCTGCAGTTTCCTGGCTGGAGCTGGCTGGTGGGACAAAGGAAGCAGTCTCCATCCCTGGCACCCAGGCTCTGTCCCCTGCTTCCAAGGCCCGGCCCAGGCACCCCACTCACACGTCATGTTCCTTCCAGAAACCCTCCAGCCCCTGGAGTTCCTGAGGACCTCTCTCGGGGGCAGGTTCCTGGTGTACGAGTCCTTCCTCTACAGGAAGGAGAAGGCGGCCGGGGAGAAGGTATACTGGATGTGCCGGGACCAGGCCCGCTTGGGCTGCCGCAGCCGGGCCATCACCCAGGGCCAGCGGGTGACCGTCATGCGCAGCCACTGCCACCTGCCTGACCTGGCAGGCCTGGAGGCCCTGAGGCAGCGGGAGCGGCTCCCCAGCACAGCCCAGCAGGAAGACCCAGGTACAGACAGGAGTGGGGGCGAGAGAGCTGTGGGTATCTTGGTCTCTGCCAGCCCGAGGTTCAGACACCTCAGGCGACAGGCACTGTCTGGGGACCTTTGTTCCCTGGTCTTCCTGCCTTTCCAGTCTTCTAACCTTCCTCTCTACTGGCTCCTTCTCCTGAGCCTAGAAACACACCTAAATTGGTCCCATCCTTAAAACCAACTCCCCTTGTAACCGCCATTTTTTTCCTCTCTTTTATACTAAGAGGTCCTAACTTTTTATGGGTGGTAGTATCTTTTGAAAATCTGATGAAAAAATATAGACCACCCTAGAAGAATATACTAATGTGTGTGCACACGCAAACATGAGTGCTCCCGTGCGTGCACACACACACGTAGTTTTGCAAATAATTAACTGTATCAAACTGAAAATGGGTTCCCTTCAGATAAACAGAATGTAAAACCAGTCTTTTTTTTTAATTTTTGAATTTTATTTTATTTATTTTTTATACAGCAGGTTCTTATTAGTTATCTATTTTATACATATTAGTGTGTATATGTCAATCCCAATCTCCCAATTCATCCCACCACCACACACCCCCCGCCACTTTTCCCCCTTGGTGTCCATACGTTCTCTACATCTGTGTCTCTATTTCTGCCCTGCAAACCGGTTCATCTGTACCATTTTTCTAGTAAAACCAGTCTTTAGAAAGCATTATGTGTCTCATATTAGTTCATGGAAATATTAAAGGGCACATCTTATAAAATACGGGAATGAATCCAAGTTGTATCAAACAAACAAAAGAAACTTGATTTCTGTTTAAAAAAAATTTTTTTTCCATGAGAAAGCCACTGTTCAGCTTAACCAAGGAGGAGGCGCTGTGGTTTGCCTTTGTTGGGGTGAAGGGCGTGCCATCTTTGAGATTGTTGCCTCCCAGTCTTTTTGGTGACAAGGTGAAGACTGACTCAGGATCTCCAGCAGTTTATTTTACCGGGCATAGGTAGTTTTGGCATCAGAAAACCAGAATTCCCCTAATGACTCCCCCAATCAGAGTCATTCCACCTGGTTTTCATCCTCAAGGCCTTGAAGTCATCGTTCCAGGAGGTGTGCCTTTGCCTCTGGCAGCTTCAACAAGAAAAGAATTATTAATCCATGTTTTCAATGTTTTTTACTCAGAAAAGACAAAACTTCTGCCTGAAGTTCAACTGTGCTTCGAGACTTGTGCTCCTGAAAGCCAACAGAGCTATGGGTAACTGTATTACCATAATCACAAATTACACAAAACTTAGTGACTAAGAACAATAAATATTTACTGTCTGTCACAGTGTCTGTGGGTCGAGATTTCAGGAGTGGTTGGGTGGGGTGGTTCTGGGGTTGAAGGAAAGATGTCAGTGGGGGTACACCCATCTGAAAGCTTGAGTGGGGCTGGAGGAAGTGCTTCCAAATGGCCTGTTCACTCACATGGCTGTGGGCTGGAGGCCTCAATTCCTCACCATGTAGACATTTCCTTAGGGCTGTTTGAGTGCCCTCAAACATGACAGCTATCTCCCCCCAAAACAAGTGATCCAAGAGATCCAAGGGAGAATGCAGAGCAAGAAGGAGGCCACCACCTAAAGCAGAATTCACGTCCTTCTCAAGCACATGTGGGACAGTCCCCAGGATGGATCATATCTAGGCCATAAAACCAGACCCCACAAATTTTTTTATTTATTTTAAATTATCTATTTATTTATTTGGCTGCACTGGGTCTTTAGTTGCAGCATGGGGGATCTTTGTTGCAGCATGCAGGATCTAGTTCCCTGACCGTGTACCAAACCCAGGCCTCCTGCATTGGGAGCGCAGAGTCTTAACCGCTGGACCACCAGGGAAGTCCCCAGACACCACAAATTTAAAAGGATTGAAATCATGCAAAGTATTTTGTCTGACCACAGTGGAAAGAAATTAGAAGTCAATGACGAAAAAATTTGGGAAACTCACAAATACATGAAAGTTAAACAGCCTACTTATAAGTATTACCAGTGACTCAAAGAAGTTACAAGGGAGATTAGAAAATACTTTGAGGGGCTTCCCTGGTGGTCCAGTGGTTAAGACTCTGCACTTCCATTGCAGGGGGCACAGGTTCAATCCTGGTCGGGGAACTAAGATCCCACATGCTGCATAGCGCAGCCAAAAAAAATTTTTTTTAATAAAAATTAAAAATAAAGATCTTGGGCTTCCCTGGTGGCACAGTGGTTATGAATCTGCCTGCCAAAGCAGGGGACACGGGTTCGAGCCCTAGTCCAGGAAGATCCCACAAGCCGCAGAGCAACTAAGTCTGTGCACCACAACTATTGAGCCTGCGCTCTAGAGCCTGCGAGCCACAACTACTGAAGACCGTGCACCTAGAGCCCGTGCTCTGCAACAAGAGAAGCCACTGCAATGAGAAGCCCGTGCACCGCAAGGAAGAGTAGCCCCCACTCGCCGCAACTAGAGAAAGCCTGCACACAGCAACGAAGACCCAACACAGTCAAAAATAAATAAATAAAATAAATTAATTTTTAAAAATAATAAAAAAATAAAGATCTCAAGTCAATAACTCAAACTTACATGTTAGAAAAAGAATGCTAGGAAAAGAAAAACAATGTAAACCTAAAGCAAGCAGAAGGAAGGAAATAATAGCTATTAGAATAGAAATTAATGGAGTAGAGAATAGAAAAGTAGGGACTTCCCTGGTGGTCCCGTGGTAAAGAATCCGCCTTCTAATGCAGGGGACACGGGTTCAATACCTGGTCGGGGAACTAAGATCCCACATGCCACGGGGCAACTAAGCCCGCATGCCACAACTACTGAACCCACGCGCCTCAACTAGTCAGCCCACATGCCGCAAACTACAGAGCCCATGCACTCTGGAGCCCATGCACCACAACTAGAGAGATGCCTGTGCGCTGCAATGGAGAGCCCATGCACAGCAACAAAAGGTCCCATGTGCTACAACAAAGATCCTGTGTGCCGCAACTAAGACCCAACGCAGGCAAGAATACAATAAATAAATAAATAATATATTTTTAATGTTAAAAAAAAAGAAAATAGAGAAAACTAACAAAACCAAAAGTTGTTTCTTTGAAAGGATCAACAAAATTGACAAACCTTTAGCTAGACCAGAAAAACCAATTATAAGGAAATACTGTGAACAATGGCATGCCAACAAATTAAATAACTTAGATGAAATGAAAAAATTCCTAGAAACCTACCAAACCTGATTCATGAAGAAATAGAAAATCTGAGTAGACTTAAACCAAGTACAGAGATTGAATTAGTCATTTTAAAACTCCCCACAAGTTAAGACTCTGTGCTTCTGCTGCAGGGTACACAAGTTTGATCCCTGGTCAGGGAACTAAGATTCCCGCTTAGGCCTAGATGACTTAATTGATGAGTTCTACCATATATATATGTTATATATATATATATAATATATATATTTATAGATATAATATATTATTTACATACTTATATACTATATAGATATAGATAGATAGATAGATATTCTTTTTTTTTTGGCCACGCGGCCTGTGGGATCTAGTTCCCTGACCAGGGATCGAACCCGGGCCCCCTGCATTGGAGGCATGGAGTCTTAACCACTGGACCAACAGGGAAGTTCCAAGTTCTACCATATATTTAAAGAAGAGAGATACTCTTCCCAAAAATAGAAGAAGAGGGAACACTTCCCAACTCATCCTGTAAGGCCAGCAATACCCTGTTATCAAAACCAAGCAAAGACATCACAAGAAAAGAAAACTAGGGACTTCCCTGGTAGTCCAGTGGGTAAGACCCCATGCTCCTAGTGCAGGGGCCCTAGGTTCGATCCCTGGTTGGGGAACTAGATCCTGCATGCATGCCACAATGAAGAGCCCACGTGCCTCAACTGAGATGTGGCAGAGCCAAAATATATTAATTAATTAATTAAAAGAAATAAAACTATAGAGCAATGTCTCTTAGGAACATAGAAGTAAAAATTCTCAACAAAATGCCAGCAAACTGAATCCAGCAACATAAAAAAGGATCATACACCATGACCAAATGGGACTTATGCCAGGAATGCAAGATTGCTTTCCCAGCTGTAAATCAATATCATACAGCTTGTGTACAGAACAGATTTAACACAGCAGGCCTGCAACTTCTGTCCTTAGAACAACCTGCTTGCAAGGCTAACCCTTAGCTTCCAGGGTCAAGGTCAAGGATGTTTCCAGGACTTGACCCTGATACTATCCCTAAGTGATAACAATTGCTCACTTTTAACTTTTTGTACAAAAAAAGCAGCCACAACTACTGAAGCCCATGCTCCTAGAGCCCATGCTCTGCAGGAAGAAAAGCCACTGCAAGGACAAGCCTGTGCAACACAGTGAAGAGAAGCCCCCATTTGCCACAACTAGAGGAAGCCCGCGCGCAACAACGAGGACCCAACGCAGCCAAAAATAAAAAAATTTAAAAAAAAACAAACTTTAGTGCTTCAAATAATACCATCAAGAAAGTTGGAAAAGACAATCCACAGAATGAGAGAAAACATTTGCAAATCATATCTGTTAAAGGACTTGTATCCAGAATATATAAAGAATTCTTAGGGAATTCCCTGGGAGTCCAGCAGTTAGGACTCAGAGTTTTCACTGCCAGGGCCTGGTTCAATCCCGGGTCGGGGAACTAAGATCTTGCAAACCACAACAATAAAAAGACAAATAATCCAATTAACACGTGGACAAAGGATGTGAATAGACAGTTTTTATTTCAAAGATTTTATTTTTTTTATGAAGTTCAAGATATACTAATGGCCAATAAGCACAATTAAAGATGTTCAACGTCATTAGCCTTAGGAAATGCAAATCAAAACTACAATGAGGGGCTTCCCTGGTGGCGCAGTGGTTAAGAATCCGCCTGCCAATGCAGGGGACACGGATTCGAGCCCTGGTCTGGGAGGATCCCACATGCCTCGGAGCAGCTAAGCCCATGCACCACAACTACTGAAGCCCACGCACCTAAAGCCCATGCTCCGCAACAAGAGAAGCCACCGCAATGAGAAGCCCATGCACCGCAACGAAGAGTAGCCCCTGCTCACTGCAACTAGAGAAAGCCCATGTACAACAATGAAGACCCAATGCAGCCAAAAAAAAAAAAAAAAAACTACAGTGAGCTAGCACTTCACACCCACTAAGATGGCTAAATCAAAAAGACAGACAATAACAAGTGTGTACAAGGATGTGGAGAAATTGGAACCTTCATACACTCTTGGTGGGAATGTAAAATGGCACAGCTACTTTGGAAAACAGTCTGGCAGTTCCTCAAAATGTTAAACAGGGATTTCCATGGCGGTCCAGTGGTTGGGACTCTGCACTTCCAGTGCAGGAGGTGAGGGTTCAATCCCTGGTCGGAAAAACTGCATGCTGCGTGATGCAGCCAAAAAAAAAAAGAAAAGTTAAACATAGAGTATTTGTTCACCCAGTAATTCCACTTCTAGTTGTACACCCAAGAGAATTGAAAACATGTGTCCATAAAAAACTGTACATCAATGTTCATATCAACATTAAACATAATAGCCAAAAAGTGAAAACCCAAAATATCCATTAATGGTTGAATGAATAAATAAAACATGGTTCATTCATACAATGAAATATTACTTGGCCATAAAAAGGAATGAAGAACTGACACACACTACAACACGGATGAACCTCAAAAACGTGATGATAAGTGAAAGAAGCCAAACACAAAAGACCACAACTTGTATAATTCCATTTCTATGAAATGTCCAGAATAGGCAAATCTATGGAGTTAAAAAGTAGATTAGGGACTTCCCTGGTGGTCCAGTGGTTAAGAATCCGCCTTCTAATGCAGGGGACGCAGGCTTGATCCCTTGTCAGGGAACTAAGATCCCGCATGTGGAGGCACAACTAAGCCCGCGCTCTGCAACTGCAGAGCCCATGCACTCTGGAGTCTGCGTGCCACAACTAGAGAGAAGCCCATGCACTGCAACGAAGAGCCCACACTCCGCAACGAAAGACCCCACGTGACTCAACTAAGACCTGACGCAGCAAAACATAAATAAATAAATAAATAAATATTTTTTGAAAAAAAGAAACTAAATTAGTGGTTGCCTAGGGTGAGGAATGTTGGGGGGTGTAGCTAAAGGTTATGAAGTTATTTATTTATTTATTTATTTATTTATTTATTTATTTATTTAGGCCACACCGCATGGCCTGTAGGATCTTAATTCCTCCACCAGGGATTGAACCTGTGCCCTTGGCAGTGAAAGCTCGGAGGAAACCATAAACAAGACCAAAAGACAGCCCTCAGAATGGGAGAAAATATTTGCAAATCAAGCAACTGACAAAGGATTAATCTCCAAACTTTACAAGCAGCTCATGCAGCTCAATAACAAAAAAACAAACAACCCAATCCAAAAATGGGTAGAAGACCTAAATAGACATTTTTTAAAAGAAGATATACAGACTGCCAACAAACACATGAAAGAATGCTCAACATCATTAATCATTAGAGAAATGCAAATCAAAACTACAATGAGATATCATCTCACACCAGTCAGAATGGCCATCATCAAAAAATCTAGAAACAATAAATGCTGGAGAGGGTGTGGAGAAAAGGGAACACTCTTGCACTGCTGGTGAGAATGTGAATTGGTACAGCCACTATGGAGAACAGTATGGAGGTTCCTTAAAAAACTACAAATAGAACTACCATATGACCCAGTAATCCCACTACTGGGCATATACCCTGAGAAAACCATAATTCAAAAAGAGTCATGTACCAAAATGTTCATTGCAGCTCTATTTACAATAGCCCAGAGATGGAAACAACCTAAGTGTCCATCATCGGATGAATGGATAAAGAAGATGTGGCACATATATACAATGGAATATTACTCAGCCATAAAAAGAAACGAAATTGAGCTATTAGTAATGAGGTGGATAGACCTAGAGTCTGTCATACAGAGTGAAGTAAGTCAGAGAGAGAAAGACAAATACCGTATGCTAACACATATATATGGAATTTAAGAAAAAAAAATGTCATGAAGAACCTAGGGGTAAGACAGGAATAAAGACACAGACCTACTAGAGAATGGACTTGAGGATATGGGGAGGGGGAAAGGTAAGCTGTGACAAAGCGAGAGAGAGGCATGGACATATATACACTACCAAACGTAAGGTAGATAACTAGTGGGAAGCAGCCGCATAGCACAGGGAGATCAGCTCGGTGCTTTGTGACTGCCTGGAGGGGTGGGATAGAGAGGGTGGGAGGGAGGGAGACGCAAGAGGGAAGAGATATGGGAACATATGTATATGTATAACTGATTCACTTTGTTATAAAGCAGAAACTAACACACCATTGTAAAGCAATTATACCCCAATAAAGATGTTAAAAAAAAAAAGAAAAAAATCAAAAAAAAAAGAAATTAAATTAGTGGTTGCCTAGGGTGAGGAATGTTTTGGGGTGTAGCTAAAGGGTGTGAAGTTATTTATTTATTTATTCATTTTGGCCATACCTCATGGCCTGTAGGATCTTAGTTCCTCCACCAGGGGTTGAACCTGCACCCTTGGCAGTGAAAGCTCAGAGTCCTAACCACTGGACCACCAGGGAATTCCCAATCTCACGTTTTAAGGGAACTGCTGTGATGCATGTATATGAGTGTGTATAAAAATGATCTGGTTGATGGTGATCTCTAGGGGAAAGGGATTACAGGAATCCTTAACTTTCTTGATTATCTCTTTCCACCACGTTTGGATTTCATGGATATCATGAATGTGTGTTTCTTTGTCATCAGGAAGGTGGAAGATACACATCTGGACAGCGAGTCCCAATGAGGCCAGCCTCCTCCCAGACTCAGCAGAGGAACCTCACGTGTCACCTGCGTCAAGGATGCTCCAGGTCCACACAGAACCCCGGCATTTCCCACCACGTTAGATTTTGCTCGACAAAACCTCTTTCACTCTTCCAAAGCATCCACAGCCTTCACATTTCCTCAAGAGGCCTCCCAGGAGGAACACTTCGATGGTGTCTCCCTGCCGACAAAGAAGAGCCCCAGGAGCTGGTGGCCTGCAGCTGTGTGTGACGTGGAGTGACGTGGGGAGGGCCATGGCCACGAAAAGCTCTGAGGAAGGAAGCATCGTTCACAAAGACACCTGCCCCTGCCCTGGTGCAAATACCCATCTGTTTTCAGAGCCCACGGCTTTGCCAAGGGCTTTCCTGTTGGGTGTGGTCCTGCTTCAGCTCCACAACGTGGAAAATCATCGTGGAGGCCACTTCAAGACGAAGGTGGGGCACGTTTGGGGAAGTTCCTGCTTCCTCAGGCTGAGCTGCCCCTGCGGTTCCAGCCACCCCAGGTGTTTTCCGGGCAGGTGCCAGGTGGGCCTTCATGCTCCTTGGCCATCTGCTGCCGGGCTGTGGCTGTCCCATTAACAGAGCAGGCCGAAACCAGAGGCCTTGCTACACCCTCTGTTAGAGTTCCCTTTGCTGTTTTCCAACTTAAATTAAACCCAGTGTCCACAATCCCCAGGGCAGGTGTTGTTCAGGCCCTGGAAGCCAGCCTGACGGCTGCAGGAAGCCAGCACTGGGCAAACTCCACCGGGGTCGCCCACGTTCGCCTGATGCAGGAGGAGAGGCAGACCCCGATGACAGCAGGTGCAACCCCTTCTCCTGTCTGATGGCACGGCAGGGAGACAGCCTGCAGGGAGCAGTGAGCCCATGTTCCCCACGAACTCCAGAGGCTGCTGCTTGCTAACAGGGCCGCATCCTCCCCAGCGGGCTCCTTGAATTGCAGGGGGAGCACACGGTGCAGGCTTCCTCCCACCAAGCTGGCCATGCAGCCTGCCGTCCAGCCATGGGACAGTGACAGCTCAGACACCCCCCACTGTCCTTCTGCCTATACATTTCCTGCAATAAACCTGATTTTATATCTTACTGTGTAGAGCTGCTGTGCGTCCACATGCCCTTTGCAGCAACAGATGGCCACCAGAAAGGCATACACTCCACATGTCTCAGTGCCACGTGGTAGGAAGTGATGGAGTTTGGCTGGGCAGAGGGAAGCCTCCACACCTGGGGCAGAGTCTGGTCACCTGGCCCAGGTGCCCGCTGGACTAGGACCCACCTAGTCCTAGTGGTGGGAGTCCTCGGAAAGGTTGCTGAGGTCCAGCGCACGGGGGGACAGTGCAGCTTCTGCTGGCCATTCCCCAGCCCCCGTGGAGCTGAAAGAGAGGCCTTGATCCTCTGCTGATTCATCCCAAGTCCTCCCTGACTTGTTTTCATAAGCTGTGGCAAGCTTGAAGTGGAACTGGCACCCCCAAGCCAGGGCAACCTTGACCCCCAAGACCCTGGCTACCTTCCCAGGCAGGTAACTGTCCCATCTCTTGACCCGACTACCGGCTCCATGGGGCCCTCACCCACCAGCCTGGCCAGCAGTCATGGAGATGGTCCAGCAACGTGACAGCCCACCTCCCAGGTAGGAGACAGGAACCTGCCAAGAGACCCATCATGCTGCTGGCCGCCTGCAGTGGACACGCAACACAGGGGCTATGTTTCGGGCAGTGCTCTTGGCCATGGAGCACGCTGCCCCGAGAGAGTGAACTGCCCATGGCCAAGGCCAAAGACAGCCCTGTGGGAACAGATGCACCCCAATCCCAGACCCACAGATGTGCACATCCACGGGAGGTGACCACACTTATAGAACGGCACCTGAACTTAAAAGGACAGTCAAGTCTGCGCCAGCACCAGCTGGGTCTCTGCTCAGTCCCACACAAAGAGGAACCTCACACAGGCCTGAAATGCCCGGAGAGAAGCACCGAGTCCCAGCAGCCAATGTCACCCAAACGCCTGCAGGGTCACTGGTTTCCCACCCTCCACAGTAGGGCTTCCACGGGGTGCAGGGTAGGCGACTCCAAATCTCGAGTCCCATGACTGTCACCTTGGCTGGGCTCCAGGCCCAGAGTCAGAGGAAGGACTCAGGCTTGTCCCTCTGCCCCCATGCTCACATTGACCAGGGCCCAGCCACTCATTCTCATCTCTGCACCTGCTTTGACCTTAGAGGGCAGGTGGATGGTCCATGTTGCTCGGACCGAGGACTCCCCAATGGACATGAATTTGGATACTGCTGCCGCCTTGGGTAGCCCCATGGCCACTCACCATCCACCACCAAGCCCCAGAGGCTCCCCATCATACAGCCACTTCCTCCACGGTTCCAGAGCCAGCAAGATGTCCCCTGCCCTATCCCTGTCACAGAGCAAAGTGCACAGAGGCAAGTCCCTCTTGGAAGCTGGCCCCTGGTGGACAGCGACAGCTGGGCGTGGTCCTGCCCTCCTCCTTCCCTATTTCCACTCTACTGCTAGTTCCCCCAATAAACCCTGTTTCATTATGTCTGCACCACGTGGAGCCACTAATATATCTCTGTGTCTCTTTGGGTGATGGCACAACAACATCTCAATTATGAAATCTGAAATAAAAAGTTCATAAGGAGCAGCGAGACTGCCAAAAAGTTACTCAAATTTTAAAAATGGGCCAGCGGCTGGCTCTAGGGTCCCTAGCCCTCAGTCTTGTCCCTGGGGTTGTGAGGTGAGCGTCACTGAAATGCTTCTCCTGGCCCAGCTCCCCCTGCCCACCCAGCCCAGCCTCCTGTCCCCATGTCCTCTGTCGAGATGGCTCCTTCTGGGTAGCACCAAGGACTTCCTTGTCACTAAATTCAGCGGGTGCATCTCAGAGTTCACCGCCTGCACTGACTGCCCCTCCTTAAGCCCTGCAGACCTGAAGGTGGCTCCCAGGTTCTCTGCATCTCCTTTGAGGGCTCCTTGGTTCCCACCCAACCGATAAGCAAGGTGGTTGGTGTTCTGGGGACTGGACCTCAGCCCTTTTCTGAACAGCCATTTTCAGGGTTCACGGTTTGTCAGTCTGCAGCCCCAGCTCTGCCCTCCCTTCTGCAACCAAACCTGTGTGTCCAGCTGCCCCCAGGACCTTGACCCTGGATATCCCACGGTCACCAGCAGCAAAGGTGGAGAAGGGGAGTGTCCTCATCATCCCCCTCCTCTGACAGCTCCACCACATAAGTAGAAACCCAGAGCCGTCCTTAACACCGCCCTGCCTGTCCCTAGGTCCCGTCAGCTATCAGTGCCACAAGTGCCACCCTGCCTAGTTCTTTCTTTCTTTAGTAACAGCTTTATTGAGATACAATCCACACACCATAGAGTTCACCGACTCAAGTGTACAATTCAGTGACTGTTAGTACATTCAGAGTAGGGCCTCCGTCACCTCTATCTAATTCCAGAACATTTCATCACCCCGAAAAGAAACCTCAGACCCATTAGAAGTCACTACCTCTGCGGTTTCTTTCCCTATGTGTTAAGGCTGATGGGGTTCCTTCCTCTGGTGCTGGGAGAATTTGGGGAATCCAGGTGTCTTAGTCCACTCAGCTTGCCATAATATACCATAGGCCCCAGAGCGGGGATCTTAAACAACAGACATTTATTTCTCACAGTTCTGGAGGCTGGAATTGTGAGGTCAGGGTGCGGGCATGGTTGAGTTTTGGTGAGAGCTCTCTTCCTGGTTTACAGTTGGCCACCTTCTTACTGTGTCCTCACATGGGGAGTGGAAGGGGGGTAGGCCTAGCTAACTTTCTGGCCTCTTCGTATAAGGCACTAACACATCATGAGGGTTCCACCCTGACTGGAACACCTCCCAAAGGTCCCACCTCTTCATGTTATCACATTGGGATTAGGGTTTCAACATGTAAATTTGGGGGGGACACAAACATTCAGTCCATAGCACTAGTAAGGCACACATATGGTAAAGAAGACTGTTAGTCAATCCTTGTATTAATAAACATCCCTGGGCTTCCCTGGTGGCGCAGTGGTTGAGAGTCCACCTGCCGATGCAGGGGACACGGGTTCGTGCCCCGGTCTGGGAAGATCCCACATGCCGCGGAGCGGCTAGGCCCGTGAGCCATGGCCGCTGAGCCTGCGCGTCCGGAGCCTGCTCCGCAATGGGAGAGGCCACAACAGTGAGAGGCCCGCGAACCGCAAAAAAAAAAAAAAAAAAGAAAAATAAACATCCCCATCCCTAGGCCCCTGAGTCACCTAGAGCCCCAACCCTTCACCTTTGTGACCACTGCAGCATCCAGTGTCCCCTCTGCAATCTGTCCCCATGATAGCCAAGGGCTTTTCTAAAATGCAACCCCAGCATACAACACCTGCCCCAGGTGTTCTCTCCCAGGTGTCCATATCAGGTATGATTACCTGGTTCAAGGACCTGAAGCCGGAGGTACCCAAGGGAGTCTCTGGAGACAAAGGGCAGGGCGGCTGCCAGCCTCAGGCTGCATCCTCATCACAGCTCTGCAGAGCCCAGCCTCTCCTGGCTGTCCACCCTACTGTTCCCCTGAGGGCTCCGAGGGCACTAGAACAGCCCCTCAGCCTTCTCCCATTAAAAAAAGGCTCTGGCTGCTGGAAGAGCTGTTCAGGGTAACCATGGGGAGTTGGACCTCAGTTGAGAGAGCTATTAGTCCAAGTAGGAGATGGTGGTGGCTCGGACTAGAGAACTAGCAGCAAGGATGGAAAAGTGACAAGAAATAAGTAACATGTTATGAGTTGAATTGTGTCCCCCCAGAATTCACATGTTGAAATCCTAACCCCTAGTACCTCAGAATGTGACCTTATTTGGAAATAGGTCGTTGCAGATGTGATTAGTTTAGACGGGATCCTACTGCAGTAGGTTGGGCCCCTAATCCAACATGACTGGTGTCCGTATAAAAAGGGGAAATTCAGACACAGACATTCACACAGGGAGAATGCCATGCGGAGGTAAAGGCAGAGACTGGGGTGATTAGTGGCTTCTAGGAGCCAGGGAATGCCAGTGACGGCCAACAAGGCACCAGAAGCTAAATGAGAGGCATGGAACATTCTCCCTCCCAGCTCTCAGAGGAACCAGCCTTGGAGACAAGAACTGTATGAGGGTGGGGGGAATGTATTAGTCCAGGTAAGTTGTGCCAGCTGCTGTAACAAGCAAGCCCCTGATCTCAGTGGCTTAACACATAGATATTTATTTCTCCACTCATGCAGAATCCCACGCTGATACTTCTAGTTGGTGGGCTCCTTCTACAAGGTCGCTAGGGAATCTGGCTCCTTCCACCCTCCCCTAGGCCCTAGGTATCCCCTCCATCTAGTTGGTGAATGAAGGAGATAGAAACTGAGGCTATTGTAGACCAGACCTGGCTGGGGTCTACATCAGTGCTTTTCAAACTTTAACACCTGGGGATCTTGTTAATGCAGGCTCTGATGAAGGAGGCATGGAGTGGGGTATGAGAATCTGCATTTCTAACAAGCTCCCTGGTGATGTCAATGCTGTTGATCTGGGCCCTTGCTTTGAGAATTGAGGAGTGAGAGGCATCACTCCTGCCCATGCCTCATAGCCAGAGCTCACTCCTGTGGCTATACCTAATGCAAGGGAAGCAGGGAAATGAAGTTCAGCTGTTTGTGCAGGAGCTGGAGGAGCCAGGGTCAGTAAACAGGCAGGGGGCAGGTAGGGGCCAGGCAGTAGGGACCCAGCCCTCCCACGACAGTGGTACCATTGCTGCGGGGAGACCAGGGGGAGGTCCTGCCTGAGACCATGGGTCCCTCGGCAGGCAGCCTTTCTGAACTCCCTGGAAGTGGTGGGGGCGAGAGCCCAGGCCTTCCTTAGTTCAAGGTTCTGTGAGCCACCTGGGACTGGAGCTTGCAGTGGGGATACTGCCTCTCATCTTGGTGCCTGAGTCCTGGAACTGAGCACCCCCTTCTTTTCATCCAATACCCCTTTTGCAGGAGATCAGCCTGGCAGTGGGGGCCCAAAGTACAGTGGGCCAGATGGACAGCCCTTTTTAATCAACCCTCCTGCCAGAAAAGGGGTCAGTTCTTCCTCCACTCCACCACTGACCTTCCTTCTGCACGAGGGGTCCTGGTCGTCTTTGTCCTCCACCCCGCCCTTTTCTCAGGTGACTCCTGGGAGCAAGGCTCCCCATGCACCCCCATCACCCAGGCCTGCTGCACCAGGATGCTGTCCCTGGGCCAGAGCCTAGGACAATGCCACGGAGCCACAGCAGCCCCCAAGCTCACAAGCAGAAGGGAGAAGGGGGCCAGGTCCATGGGTTTTACTACTCCCTCCTTAGATGGGTTCCCTGCGCTGGGCTAGCCTGTGCTGGTGAGACTCCCAGTCCATTGCTCAGCAGGGCCAGGAAACTGGGAGGTGATCCCGGGCCAGCGTGGCAGCTGAGAGGGTCCCCCCAGGAGGCAACCTGGGCACTGGCCTCCAGCCTCAGCCAGCCAACTGCGTTGGGATACCGCCCCCCACACACACACACACCTCCCCCCAGCCTGTGTATGAGGCACAGGCTCATTCGAAGCGAGGTCTTCGCGGGTCCAGTCACCACCACCAGCACTGTGGCTTTCCTAGAATCTTCTCTGCGCCCCCGATCTGGGGCGGGGGAGGAGTACGGCGGGTACTGACAGAGCAGAGACAGGTCCTTGCAGGCTGTACAGCCTGGTGGGGGACTGGTGAGGGGTGGGCAGGCCGGACTGGGAGGCAAGATATCGGGGCCGGGCGGGCCGCTCTGGGCCCCAGGCCACCACCCATCTCCTTCCCGGTCCCCGCCCCCGCCCTCCCACGCACCTGCGCTGGCCTCTCCCCAAGCCCTGGGGGCAGCCGGCGGGCGCTGCTGGGAGATCAGAGGACTCGGAGGAGTCGGGCCCAGGGGGAGGGGGCGGGGAATTTCCCCCCACGCCTGCCTGGGCCTGCTCCCCCTCCCCCTTCCCCGCCAGGTGGGGGGGGGCACCGCTAGGGGAATTCCACCGCGCTGCGAGGGCTCCGGCGAGCCTGGGCTGGGGGTCCTAGGGAGAGGAGGAGGAGAGGAGGGAACAGGCTGGGACCAGGGGCGCAGCTGCCTTCCTCCCCAGACACCAGCTGCCCCTGCCTGTCCCAGACTGAGCGGCCACCATTCCAGCCCGTGGGGCGGGTGCGGGGGCAGGGAGTGGCGCTTCCTCAGGCCAGAGGCGTCGGGACCTGGGAAGGGAGAGGCGTGAAGATCCGAAAGAGGGTGTGCGTGTGAGCGTCTCACAATGAATGGGTGACTGAGTGGGAGAGCGTGCCTGCACTTCATTCAAGGGTGTCTGTGAGCTGGGGACTCCGGGTGCCCCGGGGACGTGTGGCCTCAGGAGAGGGTCCTGTGTCTCCCCCATTAGGGTCGTTCTGTCTACCAGCCTGGCCGGGCCTCCTCCACACGCTCCCGCAGGAACCTTCACCGACCCTGAGAGGAGGAAGGGAGGGGAGGCGCGCTCCGGGACACAGAGGGTCCCGGAGATGGGGGGCGGGCGTGGGAGGCGTCTGGACCTGCTGCCTCCGCTCCAGTCTCGGGCGGGGCTTCCCTGCCTCGGTGGCGGGGGGGACCCGTGGGGAGGGACGCCAGGGGGGCAGGAGACAGCGCGTCGGAGACCTGGGCGAGGGAGACTCAGAGAGCAAGAGGCAGAGGGAGGGGGCGGGTGTGGAAGCCGAGGCAGGACCCCGAGCCCGGAGAGGCAGAGACGGAGAACATCCCTGGCCAGAGATTGTCCCCCCGGGGAGACTCCCAGTAGGGGCCGGGGCAGAGAGACGCCTTCAGGGCCAGAAACCCTAGGAGGCAAATACCCCTGGGAGATATTACCGCCACCCCCCGCCCCAGATAGAGAGCGCCTCGCAGAGCGGGGACGAGGACAGACTGTCAGAGGACAACGCCCCCCAGGCCTCCTGGGAGACCCCGGAGCAACCCCAGGGGCGACAAGGGCCTTGTGAGGGCCAGGGCGACCTCTTCTTGGTTGGGGGCGATGGGGACACGGGCCCCGCAGGGCCTCCTCCTCCTTCTCTTGCTCCGGCTGCTGCTGCCACGCGGGACCTCAGCTGGGAGCCTGCATAACCCAGGTGAGTCGCGGCCCGGCGACTGGGCCGAGGTCACCATTCCCTCCTCGGCCTCCGCGCCTAGAACCCGAGTCCCACTGACGAGGGGGCAGAGCAGGTGGTGGCAGCAGCTGAGCAGCCCGAGGGCCCCGTGGGCGCCGGGGGCGCTGGCTGGGGAGCTGGGTGGGAGTTGGCATCGGAGTGTGGGGTGAGGATGCCCGGCAAGGGTCAGGACCTCCCAGGCCCCGCCGTCGCCGTGCAGGCCTGTCCGAGTGCTTCCAGGTGAATGGCGCAGACTACCGCGGCCACCAGAACCGCACGGGCCCGCGCGGGGCTGGCCGCCCGTGCCTCTACTGGGACCAGACGCAGCAGCACAGCTACAGCAGCGCCAGCGACCCCCACGGCCGCTGGGGGCTGGGCGCGCACAACTTCTGCCGGTGAGGGGCGGGGCCTTCGCTGGGGCGGAGCTGGGTGCACTATTACAGGCGTTGGCCCGGAGCTGGGCCTCGGCATGGGCGGAGCGGAGGTCTCTGCTGTGCCGGCACAGGGGCCATCTCGAGGGCCTGGGGGCGGGGCTTAAGCGTGGGGTAGAACCTTTTCTGACCTGGGTCGGGCCGTAGGCGCATAACTTCTGCAGAGCCTCAGGTCAGGCCTGGGCACTCAAGGCGCCCATAAGGGCGTGGCGTAGTCAGAGGGCAAACCCTGGAGTGAGGGGCCGGGCCCTTGGCTCACATCTTCTTTTGAGACACATCTACTGGTGGTGACGGAGGGATTGGGGGTTCAGAGCCACAGTTTCGGTCTGAAGCGGCAGGGACCGAGCTGCGCGGGAGGACACTTCCCTGCTGAACCGCAAAGCTTAGGGCTCATCACTTCTGCTTTAAAGCAGGATTCCAAGACAAGGGACTTGGCTGAGGCCCATGGCTGGGTGGAGAACTAATACTACAAATGGCCTCAAAGTCTTCATAGCCTAGCAACAGCTGAAGACCTAAAATCAGCCCCCAGGGCCCTTTAATGACTTCCCAGCGTACACTCGGAAGTCGACATCCATTCTGGTGGGCAAACCAGAATTTGCTCGAACACACACGGTGGCCATTTTGAGAATAAGCCGTGGGTCAGGGCTGGAATTTGCCATTCTTGGGACAGGAGGATCCCAACTATTTCTCCTGTACCAACAGTAACCCAGATGGTGATGTGCAGCCATGGTGCTACGTGGCCGAGACAGAGGAGGGCATCTACTGGCGCTACTGCGATATCCCCACGTGTCATAGTGAGTGGGCCGGGATGGACAAGGGTGGAAGCCGGGCTGCCTGGGCAGAGTTCGCTTTTGGAGGCGCCTCACTGAGCCTGACTCTGCTGCCCCCTCAGTGCCTGGGTACCTGGGCTGCTTCGTGGACTCCGGGGCACCCCCGGCCCTCAGCGGCCCCAGCGGCACCTCAACAAAGCTCACTGTCCAGGTGTGCCTTCGCTTCTGCCGCATGAAGGGCTACCAGGTATTGCCCACCTGCCCAGACCGGTGGTGACCCCTGACCTTGACCTCAGGACCAAATCAACTTCGAACTCTGAGGCCAAACCTTGACACTAATTTCTGAACCCCCAGCCCGATTCCCACTTCCGACCCCAACCCCTGGCTCCCACTACCCCACCCCCACCCCAGCCCCTGTCTCGGTGGTCACCCAGTCTGTGCTCCCAGTTGGCGGGCGTGGAGGCTGGCTACGCCTGTTTCTGTGGCTCTGAAAGCGACCTGGCCCGGGGACGCCCGGCTCCGGCCACCGACTGTGACCAGATCTGCTTTGGCCACCCGGGCCAGCTGTGCGGCGGTGATGGGCGCCTGGGCATCTACGAAGGCGAGGAGTGGGCAGGGATGAGGGGCCCGGGTGAGGGGAAGAGTCTGAGTGAGACTCAGCGATGCCGTGACAGGGGGCGGGATCTGGGAAGGGAAGGCGGTAGGTTGGGGGCGGGGCTTAATAAAGGGATTGGGTTGAGGACTGGGCCCGAAAACGGGACTGGGCTGAACCTGGGGCCAGGGGTCTGGGTCTGAGGACGGGACCTGAGAAAGAAATTGTTTGAGGGCGAGACTTGAGGAGGGAATTAATAGTTTGACAGCGGGGCCTATGGAAAGGGTTGGACGGGGTCGGAGGAGGGAGTTGGGCTGAACCTGGGGTGGAGGCGGGGTCCGAAGATGAGGCTGGTCTGTCTGGGGCGGGGCCTAGCTGGGAAGGGGCGGGGCTCTATGTAGAAGGAGGAGCCCGCCGGTCTCCGGGTTCTGACCGCCGGCCCCGCCCACAGTGTCCGTGGGCTCCTGCCAGGGGAACTGGACTGCACCTCAAGGTGTCATCTACTCCCCGGACTTCCCGGACGAGTACGGGCCGGACCGGAACTGTAGCTGGGCGCTGGGCCCCCCGGGCGCCGCGCTGGAGCTCACCTTCCGCCTCTTCGAGCTGGCGGACCAGCGCGACCAGCTGGAGCTGCGCGACGCCGCCTCGGGCAGCCTGCTCCGCGCCTTCGACGGCGCCCGCCCGCCGCCGCCGGGGCCGTTGCGCCTGCGCTCCGTCGCACTGCTGCTCACCTTCCGCAGCGACGCTCGCGGCCATGCGCAGGGCTTCGCACTCACCTACCGCGGTGAGGCCCCGCCGCGTCCCCCTTCAGCCCGCTCCCCCTCCAGCCTGCCTCACACCCCTCTCCGCAGGGCTGCAGGACGCCGACGACCCTGCGCCCCCCAAGGGCTCGGCCCAGACCCCTGCAGGGCCCCCCGACGGGGCCAACGTGAGCTGCAGCCCCCGGCCTGGAACTCCAGAGGCCGCGATTGGGGGTGAGACGGGCGTGGGAGGCGGGAGAGAGTTTGGGGAACAGACCCTTCCAGCCCTGTCCTCACCGCACTCGTGTGCCCGCAGCCCAGGTCTTCTTGACGGTGACGGCCGTCTCAGTGCTGCTGCTGCTGCTGCTGTCCCTGCTGCGCCTGCTGCGCGGACGGTGCGCGCTCTGGGGCAGGACCTGAGGGCGGACCTTGCCGGGAGCCTGACGCCCCACCCCGGTGCCCCGGGGCGTGGGGGGCCCTGGTGGGAAGCTAGGGCCCACGACGGGAACAGGGCTGGAAGGAACTCCTGGGTTCGAGGGACGAGGATCACGCGTTCGAGGGACGCGTGGGATCACAAGCGAAGCAAGGTGCTGGAGGTGAGGTTGGTTGGGGGTTCGGCTGACGTCTGCTCCCTCTCTAGGAGCTGCCTGCTGGCTCCGGGTAAAGGGCCCCCAGCGTTGGGGCCTTCCCGGGACCCCGCAAGAAGCTGGGCCGTTTGGTACCGCCGGCCTCGAGGGGTCGCCCTGCCCTGTCCTCCCGGGGACCCCCAGGTTGAGAGTCTAACCGCGAGTTACCGGCCATTGAGCGCCTCCAGCCAGAGTTCCCTGCGCTCACTCATCTCTGCTCTCTGACTCGGGACCCCCAGGGTCCACTGGACCCTCCTGCAGCGGGATAGACTCCTGAGACCCTTTGCCACACACTGCCTACCTTGGCCTTCTGCCCCTTTGAAGTTTGGCAGCTCGGCCTCTAGTCATCTCAAGGAGGCCAGACGTTGGACAGGAAGCATCTGGTGCTATTATTGGGAACTTCACCTGACCCTCGGGGTCCAGATGGTCAAGGCAAAAGGGCAAGAGGAATTCGACTTCCCTCATAAACCTGGATACCTGGGTCTTTGAGCCCCTTCTGGGGTGGTTCTGGACTGCTGCCCAAAGTGAAATGTGAGAGGTCAACAAAAGTGGTCAAAAGACTAATCATAGGTTTTGAATAAAAGACCTATTTTGGTACAGGGCTCCGGAATTTCTTATGTGTGGGAAGAGCTATGAGGGTACAGTGCCAAGAGTGGTTGTGTACATGCAAGTTAAAGGCGTTCATCGCAAAGAGTTTCATGTAGCAGCCTGGAATGCAGAGGAACCGCGGAGGCGGAAGGATGAGTGGGCGGGGTCCTGGAGAAGGGGAGGAGGTGGAGGCCGGTTGTCAGCAGGGTTAAGCAGAAGAAGGGATGCCTTCGTAGACCTGATTTAGGATGAACCCTGGTGGGGACCGAACTTTCTTCCCTGGCCTCCTGCCCTCTCTCCCTCTCCGTTTCCTGCCCGTCCTGGGCGGGGCCGAAGATGCGCCTTTGGCTTGAACAGTGAGCGACTTTGGCCCAGACCAAGCTCGAAGAAGCCTGGCCCGAAGGGCAGGGCCTCACTGGAGGGCTCCGGGCACGTCAGGCACACCCCTAGAGGCCCGGGCATCTCGGCACGCCTTGCTGCGCTCCGGGGAAGTCGGGCGAGTGGAGATATCACCCGTGGAGTAGGGGCGCGCCGGCTCTAGACCTGGCCCGTCCGAAAATCCCGGGTCGGCAGCACCTTGGACAGAGACCGGGCTGTGGGGTGCTGCAGGGTGGAGGGGCTGTGCCCGGGAGGGTGAAGGCCCAAGGGTGAGTCAACCTGGGGGTAGCGCGAAAAGCCCGGGCGCAAACTGCAAGGGAACGCGAGCCACCGGGACCCAGAAAGTCGGGTCCCAATCCAACAGGAACCCCATGCAAATAAGACTGGGACCGCATATATTATGCTAAGACGCTGAAGGTCTGGGCGGCTGCCGGGAGGAACCTCCCAGTCGGCCGCGCCCATTGGCCCTCGCAGCCGCGACGTCAGGAGCCCAGAGCGCGAAACCCTGGCGGGATGGCGGGGGCGAGCAGCTGGGGCGGAGCCTGGCGTCCCCTCCCGCGTCCGGCCGCGCCCGTCCTCCCGGCAGCCCAGAGACTACTGGCCGCTGCCGCCGCCACAGCAGCCGCCGCGAGCTGTCCCTGCACAGCGCCTGCCAGCCGCACTGCGCTCCGGATTCCTGTGCGTCCCCGGCCTCCGCCCAGGCGTGGGGTCGCGGGGCTCGCGCGTGCGCAGCGGGGCACGGGCCGGGACCCCCGGACCAGCGCGTGCGCGGACCGAGCACTGGGAGGTGGGCGGGCGCAGGGATGAGGCTCCGGGTGCTGTTGGCCCGCTGAGGAGACCCGGGGGCAAGAGGAGCGCGGACCGACTTCGCCCGGCCGGGCCATGGCGTTCCTGGCCGGGCCGCGCCTGCTGGACTGGGCCAGCTCGCCGCCGCACCTGCAGTTCAACAAGTTCGTGCTCACCGGCTACCGGCCGGCCAGCAGCGGCTCGGGCTGCCTGCGTAGCCTCTTCTACATGCACAACGAGCTGGGCAACATCTACACGCACGGTGAGCCGCGCCCCTCATCCCCCATCCGCGGCAGCCCTGCCCGCGCCGGACCGGGGGCCCGAAGGCCGAGGAGAGCCCCAGCGCCCAGGTCCTGGGCTGCCCCGGCCCTGGCACGGCCAGGAGCCGTGGTGACAAAGCTGCCATTGTGCCGATCGTCGCTGCCCGCGTCTGCTCCCCCGGCGGGGCCCCCGGGGCAGGCGAGGGAAGCAGAGTCGGAGACCGAATCCGCTTAATCCCTCTGAGCCCTGGGAATAAGGAATCTGGTTTCCGGCCGCTTCGTAATCCCTGCGCCCTGGCACCCTCTACCGCCAGCACCCGTCCCGGAGATGGGTGTTGACTTTGGCGAGGAGGGGCCCAGGAGGAGAAGCTAGGCCCCGGCCGCCCTGCCGCCCCCGCCCGCCCATAGCAGCCCAGCCGCCGGGCTCCGCCTGGTGGCGGCTCCTCCCCCCCCTCCGACCCCGCCCCGGGCCCCTCCTCCGCGGCCCCGCGGAACTGTGCTGACACAGCCCTGCCCGTCCTTGGCCTACCCGGGTGGATAGAGGTGCCCTGAGTGCGCTGGGACCAGCCTTGGTACCTGCCCCCAGGGGGACTGTGGCCTGGCTAGACCCTGCCAAGAGTGGGCAGTCAGCGGCCACAGCCTGCCAGTGCCGACCTTTGACCCATGTGAGGGCAATGCCAAAGTGCCTGCAGGAAGTGGTAGGAATGGTTCTGAAGACCTGGACTGGGAGGACTGGAACTCCCTGAAAAGGTGCCTGGGTAGAAGATGGAACAGGGTTCTTTCAGCCCCCTGCCCTGCCTGGCCTCACCTGCTCTGGTGGACAAAAAGGCCCACAGCCTCCATCTGTCTGGTCCCTTCTGGAGAGGAGAGGACATAGGGATTGGCAGGAGCAAGATAAGTGGCCCTGGGATCTGTTGTCATTGCCTACATGTCGGATTCAGAACTCACCTTGAGATCATGCCCCCTCTGGCTTCTGCTGATATATACCTAGGCCAGATTGGGGAGTGGGGGCCCCCTGCTTTCCTGGGAAGTGGTGTGGTGGCTGCAAGGGTGAGACCAGCTTGGGAGTCAGACTGCCCAGGGCTCTGTGCTGCTTCATTGCTTACTTGCTGGGGTTCCCTGGGGCAGGTTACTCAGTTTCCTCACCTATAAAGTGGGAATAATGGTCTCCCCTTCCCAGAACTATTGTGAGCTCTGCTAAATAAAGTTACTGAAAGCCCAGAGCCTGCCTCTGTCCAGGGCCGGCCAAGAGTTGGCCAACAGCCTTGTCAGGACCTGTCTTGCTCCCATCCCTCTAGCGTGTGGCCTCATTGAGGACATGACTTGTCCTCACTGCTGAAGCTGTCTGATGGAAAACTGTCTCCCTCCCCCAGGGCTGGCCCTGCTGGGCTTCCTGGTGCTGCTGCCCATGACCTTGCCCTGGGGTCAGCTGGGCAAGGATGGCTGGCTGTGGGGCACACACTGTGTAGCCTGCCTGGCACCCCCTGCAGGCTCTGTGCTCTATCACCTCTTCATGTGCCACAAAGGGGGCAGCCCTGTGTACACTCGGCTCCTTGCCCTGGATATGTGTGGGGTCTGCCTCGTCAACACCCTCGGTGAGCCAAGGGATGGGGTGGGGGGCGGAGGGCTTGAAGGATGGGAGCTGGGGGTTGGGTACACTCACATGAGCCTGAGATAGAAAGGGCAGGTATCAGGGAAACTGGAAGAAAAAAAAAAGGGACAAGGGCAGGTGGATCCCCAGACTGATGTGCCCTCTCCTGCCTCTCTCCTCTGTGCAGGGGCCCTGCCCATCATCCACTGCACCCTGGCCTGCAGGCCCTGGCTGCGCCCAGCTGCCCTGGTGGCCTACACCGTGTTGTCGGGTGTGGCAGGCTGGCGGGCCCTCACCGCCCCCTCCACCAGTAGCCGGCTCCGCGCTTTTGGCTGGCAGGCTGGCGCCCGCCTCCTGATGTTTGGGGCCCGGGGAGTGGGGCTGGGCTCTGGGGCTCCAGGCTCCCTGCGCTGCTACCTGCGCATGGATGCACTGGCACTGCTTGGGGGGCTGGTGAACGTGGCCCGCCTGCCAGAGCGCTGGGGACCGGGCCGCTTCGACTACTGGGGTAACTCACACCAGATCATGCACCTGCTCAGCGTGGGCTCCATCCTCCAGCTGCACGCTGGCGTCGTGCCTGACCTGCTCTGGGCCGCCCGGCACATCTGCCCCCTGGACTGAGCCACCTCCCGCCCGCCATGCCGGCCTGCTCACAGTCTTCTAGGGCCAACAGCACCATGCTGGCTCCCTGGATGCTTCCAGCAAATGGGACTTCCTAGCGGGGAGCCCTCGTCTGTTCATCCATTCTTCCCTGTGGACTAGCCTCTTTTACTCACACGTTGGATCTCCACTTCCCCTTCCTGCCTTCTTCCACGGGACTTATAGGCTGAAAGGAAACCTTCCCTTCTCTGGGCCTGTTTTTACCCTCTGTGACCTGTGAGGTTTGGGCCAAAGGGACAGTTGGGATCCTGCCAGCCCAGAGCCATCACCCACCCTGACCCTCACATAAGGCACCTCACAGCTGCCTAGCCCAGCCTCCTGCCCTCTGTCTGTCCACCCTGCATGCTGGCCCTCCCAGCAGCCCGTTCTCCCTGCTGTCCAGAGACTGGAATGAGGGGTCTGGACAACAGGACTAGCCTCTTATCCCAGGACCTAGGGGCAGGAGGGTGGTGGCTGCTGCTTTTTCCAAGCAACTGGCACAGAGATGTAAAGAGCTGAATGGCCCCGGACCCAAGCCCCACTGGACTGAGGGCACCCTCCACCCTGAGTGCTCTGAAAGCTTGACCTGCCCAGCAGGGACATGCCTGCTCAGGAAATCTTTGCTCCACACAGTGGGTGACTCCCAGCTCCAATCTGCCAGCCTGGGGCTTGGGGCCTTGCAGCAGAGCTCAACCTTGGGCCGTCGCAGGGGCCTCAGACCCTGGGCAACGTCAGTAAGCGCCGTGTTGCCATGCAAGCAAGCTTGGGTACTCCCAAGATTCAAATACCTTTTATTAGACACGGCCAGGCAGAAGGGACCACTGGAGTTTCCAGACGGACCCCAGCCTCCAGGAGGATGGAGGGAAGGGGCTAAGAGGTTAAAAGTGCCGAGTCTGGGCCTGTGGGCTCAGGTTGGGCCCAGTGAGTCCTCAAACAGGCTGAGGAGGTTCCGAGGCTCAAAGGCGGGGAAGGTGCCCTGTGGAGGCTCTGAGTCAACGTCACTTAGGTCCAGAGAATCCCTAGGGGGAGAGAAGAAAGAGAAATGACTCTCAGGATCCAAAAGCTGCCCCCTCCCACCCCCTGGGACCCTGGGCCCGCTCACCTCAGCGTGTACCTGCCCCGGGAGGCAGGGGAGCCACTGCAGGGGGTGGAGGTGCTCCCGGCAGCACTGGCCAGGATGGCCTCTGGAGAGAGCGAGGGCCTGCGGGGGGTAGGCAAGACAAGCAGGGTGTTGAGGGGAAGGGAGGAGGCCACGGCTGGGTGGGAGCAGCAACACCAATCCTGACCCTATGCGGGCTCCGAGCTCCTGCCTGACACAGGCAGGTGCCATTCTCGGACAATGGGCATTGGTGGACATTGAAAGAACACTCTGACAACTTCTAAAGTCTACCTGACCACACTCAAATGCCACCTCTGTCCCTTTTCAGAACACATGGGCTCTGACTGAGCTGACTTTGAAATGACCTTGTGGTATCTGAAGCTCATCTGGCACTTTGCCTGCTATAAAGCGCCCCCATGGCAATGGGGTGACATTCTCGTAAGGAAGGGGTTAATGGCGTGATTCCTTCTGAGAACTGTCTGCCCTAAGCTTGTAGTTTCCTTTGCAGTAGTTTCTTAATTACAGCCTCTCACTTGGCCACCAGGCACGTGGGACTAAGGAATTCCTCCCAGGGCGGGAGCTCACCAGGCTCTGGGGGTTTTGCGCCCTAAGAGGAAGGATAACACCTTGCCCTTGGGTACTGGCAGCCTCTGGGGGGTGGGGGCTGCACCGCCTGCCTTTCCCAGCAGGTGCTGTGGCCCCTGTGCTGCTCCCCAGCATGGCAGCACCCTCACTGTGAGGTTGCCAGTTCGCCCTGCTCCGTACGGCCCCTGGTCCACACACTGAGATTAGAAGAAACAACTGCATTCAAACTAGGCCAGGCCGCACCCCCACCAGCCTTGGTTTCCTTCCCGGCGTTTGATGGGGGCCAGGTTTGTGGGAGGAATGCCGGTTCACTACTAATTCCCGTGGGGCTGGGGCCTGGGCCTCGGGCATGGGGTTTGGCCATGCTGACGGCCCGTCTCCCCCAACTCCCAGCCGCCTGCCCAGAGTCCTCACCCACCCTATGCTGTCGTCATCCCAGTTGCTGGCGAGGCTGCTGTCCAGGAGGAGGCTGCAGGGCGGCGAGCCAGGTGGGGTGGCCGGTGGACCCAGGGGCTGCAGCCAGCTGGCAGGGTGTGCCAACCCGTGCCAGAGCCAGCATAGCAGGGAAAGCAGGGCCTGTGGGGACAGGGGGCCGAGGGAGGCTAGGTAGACCCTGGGCCAAGGAACAGAGCAGGGCCGCCCATCACCTTCCCTGGCTTACCTGCCACAGGGCCCACCCTCGACTGAGGGCCTCGGCAGCCATGTACCACAGGACGGTCCAGGGCCGCGGCTGCCTGAGCATGGGCAGGGCCAGCAGGGCCTCGGCTGTGGCCCGCAGCTTGGGGTCAGGTTCCAGCATCATGGTGAGGACAGAACGCAGCTCAGAAGACAGGCCTGTCCCCGGGGCAGGGCCACATCAGAGGTGATGGGGCCTTGAGCCTGGCAGTCCCTTGCCACCAGCCACCCCCCATGAGAGCCTGCCCTCCCTGTGGCAGTGCATCCCCTCCAATCCTCTCCTCCCACTCACCAGCAGTGAACTCAGGGGGCAGGTAGCCCTGGCGCAGCTGCTGCCAGCCCTCCCCACCATGGGGCAGCTCCATGTTGCACGCCACCTCCAGGATGGTGAGACCCAGGCTGGGAGGGACAGGGACAGAAGAGGGGCAGGGTTGACTTCGAGACACAGAACCCAGAGCCCCAGGCTACCCCCAAGAAGAAGGGTAGGAAAGGGATGCTATCTTCCACCATGAGCCAGGGAGGTGGGGAAGGAGGGGCTGGGGGCCCTAAGAAGGTCTCGGCAGGGCTGATGATGGGGACTATATCATGGAGCACAGACCCCGGGCCCAGCGTAGCTCACACACCACCTACCCCCCCACCCCGCCCCAACAGGACTGGCACTCTGGTCGCTGTTGTTAACAGTGATATTCTCATCATCCTGTTGATGTGACTGGATGCTACTGTCAGAAGCAGAGCAGTGGTGACCAGCATGGACCTTGGAACCCAGCGCCTGGTCCAGGCCCAGCCTCACCACCTGCTCACTGTGGACTGGGGGAAAGTCCCTTAACCTGCTGTGCCCAATTCCCCTGTGAATGGAGTAATAATAGTCCCTCCCTTGGAGGTGTGGTGAGATGAGTGAAGAGACAAGTGAATCAGGTAAAGTGGCTCCAGAGGGTTCTCTGATTAGCTTAACTCTCCAGACCCCTCTCAACTAGAGGGCGGGACCCCCAACCCCTTGGGGAAGCATCTCCCAGCAAGTCTTCCTGACTTTGGGCTAGGATGGTGACCCTCTGCTGACCACTCCCCCGCCCACCAGGAAGAGCCTCCCACGTCGAGCCCTACCTGAACACATCTGCCGCTGTCCCATAAGCGCCTTGAAGCAGCTCGGGGGCCATGTAGCGAGGGTCTCCCTCCTGGGCCTCGCTAGCTCCGGATGCACCCAGCTCCACCAGCAGCCCAAAGTCACCCAGCTTGCAGCGGTCCCGGGGCCCCAGGAAGATATTGGAGGGCTTGACGTCAAGGTGGACCAGGCCTTGGCTGTGCAGGTGGGCCAGGGCCAGCAGGATGTCCCGCAGGTAGCCCCAGACCTGGGCCTCGGGCAGGCTGGCGCCCCAGGCCTCACAGTGCTGCTGTAGGCTGGGCCCACACAGCTCTGTCTGCAGGTATAGGATGCCGCCCTCCTCCCAGGCTTGCTCCAGCCGCACGCAGCATGGGTGCTGCCCCACCTTCTCATGGCCGCCGACCTCGGCCAACTTGCGGGCCCGGTCCTTGGGGCCCCGGAAAGGTGACATGCAGCGCTTCACGGCATAGAGCCGGCCGTCTTCCTTGGAGCGCACCTGGAAGCGAGGGGGAACAACCACTCAGGAGGACAACCCAGATGATTCTGTTAAGATTTCACGTGTGCGGAAGGTATGGCATGGCAGCTACCTTAGAGTGACCCCCACGTGTGCAAGAGCAAAGCTGGACAAACCTCCACCCCAGGTGCTGGTTTGCTGGAGACCCAGCGAAAGAAGAGACAGGGCAGACCTCTAAGTACAAGCCCAGGAGAATGCGTTAAGTAAAAAAGCTGCCTACAGAACAGCACGGGCAGTGTGGTCTGCCATGCGGCATATGAGATGGGTTTGTTTCTATCTGGTCAATTCCAGAGAAGTACAGAGAAAAGTCTGGAAGGAAGAACGCCCACCTGAGAATCACCGTGGTTTCCCCTGACCTAGGGGCCTCTGCACTTTTTAACAAAATTGTCTTCATGTAGTACTTGTGTAAGGAAAACTACCATTTTAGAGGAAATATACATGATTGGAAAATATATTTTAAGAAACAAAAGGTGGCATGGAGGTGTCGCCTGAGTGCTTGCAGCAGGAGGGAGGTGGGGTGGGCACTGCACTGGGGGCGGGAGGTGGCCTGGCTCCGGGGCCTTGTGGAGCTTGCCAAGACCCCCACACGGCTGGCACCAGGCAGGAGGAGGTGGCAGGTGGGAGCCATCGCAAGGCGTGCCAGGCTCTGGACAAGGGGAGAGTGTGTACTGAGGGGGCCTCAGAGGGGCCTGCATGTGGGGTTATGAGAAAGCGGCCAAGTCCAGCACTGAGGGGAGCCTGCCAGCCCAAGAGGTGGGCCGTCAGGGGAAAGGAGGGGAACAGGCTTCCCAGGACACTGTCCCATCCCAGCCAGGGTGGCGAGGCGGCAGGGGGTTACCCCAGACAGGCCTGGGGAGCTGTCACTGACTCACCTTGAAGACCTCTCCATAAGAGCCGTGGCCCAGGCGGCCGAGCCTGTGGAAACTCTGCTGGAAGAAGGACTCCGGCCGGCTCGGGTCATACCCGGGGCTCTGCAGGGGCTCGGAGGCTCGGCCTTGGAACGACACCCGCCGGGGCTGGGGCTGGTGCCAGCCTGGGGTCCGAGGAGGGAAGAGGCGGCTGATGGGGATGCTGCCCTTGGCAGGGGGCCGGGGTGGGAGGCTCCGACTGAGACCCCGAGACCTCTTGAGGGAGAAGCCAGGTTCTGCATGGCGGAAGTAGGCTGGGACCGGGACGGGGGTGCCACTCAGGGGTGGCGGGGTGCCCTCTTCGGGCACAGGCATGTCCAGCACAGGAGCCCCCAGAGTTCAGAACAGGGTGTCACTCAAAACAGCACCTGGTCCTATGGCCCCAAAGAGGCTGCAGAAGAGAGCCGAGTCTATGCCACACACACACACTCTGCTTTAGGCATGGAGGCGGTGGGCACAACAAGCACCTGGTGGAAAAAGGTATACAAATGTATGCACGCCTGCAGGTGGTCACCTGCACCTTGGGGGTTAGAGACACATAGACTGAAAACCACAGGGTTGTGTCCTGGAGGTTCCCACAGTCCAGCAGAGGTTAAACCAAGGCATGTTCTGGAGCCAGACCATACCTGTGTGCACACCTCTGCCTTGTTTGGCCCTAAAATATCCCACCTTGGGGAATTCCCTGGCGGTCCTGTGGTTAGGACTCGGCACTTTCACTGCCATGACCCAGGATTCAATCCCTGGTTGGGGAACTAACATACCGCAAGCAGGGTGGCATGGCAAACAAACAAACAAACAAATAAATAAAACATGGCCAAAAAACTAAATAAATAAAAATTAAAACTTAAAAAGAAAAAATCCAGGGACTTCCCTGGTGGCACAATGGTTAAGATTCCGCACTCCCAACACAGGGGGCCCGGGTTCAATCGCTGGTCAGGGAACTAGATCCCACATGCATGCCACAACTAAGAGTTTGCATGCCACAACTAAGGAGGCTTCTGGCCGCAACTAAGACCTGGTGCAACCAGAAAAAAAAAAAAAATCCAACCTCTTCCAAGACTGTAAGGTAGAAATATTAACACAGGTCTGCTATCCTTTATCTCCAATTCCAAAGGAAAAAAGAAAGTCTAGGGCTTCCCTGGTGGCACAGTGCTTAAAAATCCACCTGCCAATGCAAGGGACATGGGTTTGATCCCTGGTCTGGGAAGATCCCACATGCTGCGGAGCAACTAAGCCCATGTGCCACAACTATTGAAGCCCGCGCACCTAGAGCCCGTGCTCCACAAGAGAAGCCACCTCAATGAGAAGCCCGTGCACTGCAATGAAGAGCAGCCCCCGCTCGATGCAACTAAAGAAAGCCCGCGTGCAGCAACGAAGACCCAATGCAGCCAAAAATAAATAAATAAATAAATTTATATATTGAAAAAAAAAAAAGGGCTTCCCTGGTGGCGCAGTGAGAGTCCGCCTGCTGCTGCAGGGGACACGAGTTTGTGCCCCAGTCCGGGAAGATCCCACATGACGTGGAGCGGCTAGGCCTGTGAGCCATGGTAGCTGAGACTGCGCGTCCGGAGCCTGTGCTCCGCAACGGGAGAGGCCACAACAGTGAGAGGCCCGCGTACCGCAAAAAAAAAAAAAAAAAGAAGAAGAAAGTCTGAATTTCAAATTTCTTTCTTGCTTCCTTTTTCGTAGTTAAGGTGCTAAAACTCAGTTAGTGGGGTTTCGCTTCCAGCTCCATGTAGCAGAGGCTAAATTTCAGCTGAGTGTAGCAGAGAGGCTGGGGGCTTCCTCCTTTCACCAGCCCCTACTCAGAGAGACAGGCACCACTGTCCCTGTCCCCAGCTCCAGAGCTGTGGCTCAGGAGATTCTGCCCGGGGAGAGGCAGGTCATGAAACAGAGAGCTCCAAAGCTCTCCCTGCAAAAATGTGACTTGATTAGAAGTAGAGTGTGAGAAGTTCAAGCCTAAAGGCCCTCTCAAAATCAGTGGAGGTTTTGGTACTAAGCAATTAGGAGGAGGCCGATACCTCCATTTGCTACAAGTGAACCACAGGACAACTAGTTTACCAGAGAGAACTGGGGAAAGAGACAGCTAAGAAGAGGCTTCCTGAGGTTAGAACAAACCTTAAACACTGAACTCCAAAGCTACCCCTTTAGGGACTTCCCTGGTGGCACAGTGGTTAAGAATCTGCCTGCCAATACAGGGGACATGGGTTCGAGCCCTAGTCAGGGGAAGATCCCACATGCACCACAACTACTGAAGCCCATGCACCTAGAGCCTGTGCTCCACAATGAGAGAAGCCACGGCAATGAGAAGCCCAAGCACCGCAACAAAGTGTAGCCCCTGCTCACCACAGCTAGAGAAAGCCCACACGCAGCAACAAAGACCCAACGCAGCCAAAAAAAAAAAAAAAAAAAAAAAAAGCTACCCCTTTAAAGCCCAAATTTGACTGGATCAGTCTATGGAGCAATTGATGTTCCAGGGCATTGTCAAAAACAACAGAGCAATCATCCAGCAATTGGTGGGGCCTGACAGCTGGGTATGATCAGGGAGAAGACAAACAGAGCCCCCCTAAAACCACTAGTGTCCCAGGGTGACTGTGCACATGCCCAAGGCTGGGCCCTCTGAGGAGCAAAGTCAAAGGCTTCACATTGTTTAGGAAAGAGACATCACTACAGTGGTCCAGCCACTTTAAACAAGCAAAAACAATCCCAAGCCCCCAGGGGTAGGGTGAGGAACCAATATTCACAGTTGCTACAACATACTATCTAAAATGTCAAAGAAAAATTACAAGATATGCAAAGACGCAGGAGAGTGTGACCCATACACAGGAAAAAAAACATACAGCAAAAACTCCCTGTAAGAGAGACCAGATGTCAGATTTAACAGACATACTTCACAGTAGCCACTATAAATATGTACAAAGAACCAAAGGAAACCACACTTGAAGAAGTAAAGGAAACACAATGACAACATCTCATTAAATAGAGAATATCAATAATGAGATAGAAATTATAAAAGAACCAAATGCATAGTTGAAAAGTACAATGTCACTGAAATGAAAAAATTCACTGGAGGGGTTCAACAATAGATTTGAACTTGCAGAAGAAATAATCAGTGAACTTGAAGATAGTTTGATAGAAATTATGCAATCTGAAATACAGACAAAGAAAAGGGAACCAAATCTCAGAGAAATGTTAGGACAGCATTAAGTGAATCAACATATGCATGATGGGTACACCAGAGGAGAGAAGAGAAGGAGCTGGAAAAGTATGGATTAAAACTTCCCAAATGTGATTTTAAAAATATTAACATAGCCAAGAAGCTCAATGAACTTCAAGTAGAATAAATGCAGAGATCCACACACAGACACACCATATTAAAACTGCTGAAAACCAAAAACAAGGGGAAAATCTTGAGAGGAGCAAGAGAAAATGACTCATCACTGACAAGCCCCCCCCATAAGATTAACTGTTAACTTCTCAAAAGAAACAATGGAGGCCAGAAGGAAGTGGGATGACATATTCAAGCACTAGGGGGAAAATTTGTCAACCAAGAATCCTATATCCAATGAAACTATCTTTCAAAAATAAAGGCAATAAAGAGGGCGTCCCTGGTGGCGCAGTGGTTGAGAGTCTGCCTGCCGATGCACGGGACGCGGGTTCGTGCCCTGGTCTGGGAAGATCCCACGTGCCGTGGAGCGGCTGGGCCCGTGAGCCATGGCCCCTGAGCCTGCGTGTCCGGAGCCTGTGCTCCGCAACAGGAGAGGCCACAGCAGTGAGAGGCCCTCATACTGCAAAAAAAATAATAAATAAAATAAATAAAGGCAAAAAAGAGATTCCCAGATAAACAAAAACAGAAAGAATGCATTGCTAGCAGACCTGCTTTACAAGGAAAACTAAAGGAAGTTCTTCAAGCTGAAACAATGTGATCCCAAACAGTAATTCAAACATACATGAAAAAAAGAAAGAGCACCAGTAAAGGTAATTATGTAATATAAAAGACAGTATAAACGCATATTTTTCTCCTTTCTTCTTTTAACTGATTTAAAAAGCAACTGTATAAACTATGTATGTAACTGTATTGTTGGGCATATAATATATAGAAATGTAATATACTTGCAAATAACAGCACAAAGATTTAAGTGTGTGGGAACAAAATTATATTGGACTAGAAAATGACACCAGATGGTAACTCAAACCCACAGGAACAAATGAAGAGAACCAGAAATAGTAAAAAAGAAGGTCAATGTAAAACAATTATACATATACACTTGCTTTTCTTTCTTCCCCCAATTTCTTTAAGAAATTAAAGATGATCTAAATAAATGGAAAGGCATTATATGTTCATAGATCCAAAGACAATATAAATAAAATGATAATACTCTCCAAATTGATCTACAGACTCAGCACAATCACTATCAGAATCCCAGGTAGCTTCTTTACAGAAATTGGCAAACTGATCCTAAAAATCATATGGAAATTAACAGGACCCAAAAGAGTCAAAACAAAGTCGGAGGACTCACACTTCCCCATTTTAAAACTTACTACAAAGCGGGACTCCCCTGGTGGCGCAGTGGTTAAGAATCCGCCTACCAATGCAGGGGACACGGGTTCGATCCCTGGTCCGGGGAAGATCCCACATGAAGCCCGTGCACCACAACTACTGAGCCTGTGCTCTGGAGCCCACATGCCACAACTACTGAAGCCTGTGCGCCTAGAGCCCACGCTCTGCAATAACAGAATCCACTGCAGTGAGAAGCCTGCGCACCACAATGAAAAGTAGCCCCCCTGTCGCAACTAGAGAAAGCCCGCACACAGCAATGAAGACCCAACAAAGCCAAAAATAAATGAATAAAAATAAATAAATGAATTAATTAAAAAAACTTACTACAAAGCTACAGTAATCAAAACAGTGTGGTACTCACATAAGGATAGACATGAAGATCAACGAAATAGAATTGAGAGTTCAGAAATAAACCCTCACATTTATAGTCAATTGATTTTGACAAGGGTGCCAAAACAATTGAGCAGAAATAAAACAGTCTTCTCAACAAATGGTGCTGGGACAACTGGATATCTACATGCAAACCTCATTTAGCAGAAAAATCTGACCTGGCCTATTCTTCCCTCTAAGTGTAAAATAATAATATATTTCTTGACAGAAATATTAATGTGTTTGATTATGAAATGATGTCCCAGACCCATGAATGGATGGTGTTACATATAAATGTTACACGTACCCTATTAGCTTTCTAAAATGGGAGACATTTTGAATTCTGAAACACACCTGGCCTCAGGGGTTTGTGGACCTGTAATGCTAACTTCATGGAAGCCTTAGTCTAGTGTCTGGCATGCAGATCCCTCAGTAACTGTTATATAATAAATAATATATAATAAATAACGCTCTGAGTAGTAATTGAAAGAACACACAAAATACAGTGGTCCCACAGGTGTAAGTGACTTTTGTATTGGAGCAAAGAGGGCTACTGTGTTGCTATAATGTTATAATTGAAAGAATAACAAGAGGAAAAAAGGAGAGAAGTCCAATTTTGAAAGGAGCCACAGTGTATCAAAAGATTCCATACTTAGCAGGGGGTGAGTCAGTGACTGAAACTGGAGGGAGCAGTCATCTGAAGGGTACTCTCCAGTGCCTAGGAAAGTGAGGCATGAGGGGAGGGACCCCACAGGGACCTGCATGGGAAGACTCACCCTACAGCCTGTGGGTACCCTCCCTCTGCCTCTATGCATCTCAGGAATCCCATCCCAGAGTTTCTCAAAGTGAGGGACCAGGGTGTCAGGAACCCCTAGGGTGTTGGTTAGAAGTAGAGCCTCCGGGCCCAGCCATATCACATTCAGGGACATTGGGCACCTGTATCTTAAACCAATTCTCAGATCATCCCAATGTCACTTACATTCTAGCACCATTGGCATGGCCAAACAGCTTTGGGGGTGGGATGGGGAGGGAGGAGAAGCAGGGGCTCCCGGTGAATCCAGGGTGGCCCTGAGCAGAAGCCAGGCCGGGATGAGCTCTGCAGCTTTCAGGGGCCTCACCCTCTCACTGGGCAGGACACATCTGCTGACCACGGTCTATCGCACTAGACTGTGAGTTCCTCCTGGTCAGGGCCACAGCTGATTCACCTCCGCGGGCGTGGGGAAACCCTGGCGAATAAAGTTGAGCAGAACAGCTGTCACGGGGGAGGGGCTGTAGATGGAAGGTCGGTGGGGGCTTTTCCTGGGAAGGGACGAGTAAAGGGGGAGCAGTCGCTGTGGAAGGGGGCTCCCAGAAAAAGAGGGAGGCCGGGAAAGGAGGAGGGCAAGGACCGTCTAGGGGCAGGAGCCGCTAGAGGGGAAGTGGGCGGAGCCGCCCGCGGCAGGGCTGGCCCAGGGAGGGGTGGGGCTGTCGGAGAGGTGAGGAAGGAGGCGGGAGGGGTTGGGGGTGAGGCAGATCCGGGGAAGGACTGTCAGGGGGCAAGGAGTTGCTCGCGAGGAAGGTAGAAGGGAGGAGAGGGCGATCCCGCCCGAGAACCTTCAGGGCCGGGTATGGGCTCACCTGGGGCGGGAGGGCGGGACGCAGCTCAGCAAGGTCCCAGATTCCGGGTCGGCGGAGGGCACAGGAGCTCTCGGAGCGGTCCGGGGTCTTCGGCCCACCGCTCCCCAAGCCAGGGCGGGAGGATTCTCCGGAGGGGGAACGGCCCGTGAACGCGCGCGGACACGGCTCGCGCCAAAAATTCCAAACCGGCCTCGAGGCCCCGCCCAGGAACGCCTCTTACCCCCGGTGCAGCCTGTCAGAGGCGCACAGCCTGCTGGGGCTCCGCCCCAACGTCCCTGCGTGCGCGCCTCCGACCCCGCCCCGCCGGCTCCGCGGCCGAGCGCTCTCACTGCGCAGGCGCGAAACCTTCTGTGCTGGCCCAGGTCGGGTGTGGCTACGCGGTGCCACCTAGAGGCTGAGGCGCCACACTGGGTCTGAGCCTGCTCTTGGGTACTCCCGCCTGGTTCCCAGGACCCCGAACGACCTCCGGGCGTCGACCGACCTCCAGACCCAGGTGCCGGCACCCACGGCCCTCGCTGGGCTGCCCTAGTTTTCGCATCTATAAAGGGAATGGTCACTGCGTTTCGCCCCGGAGGTGTAGCCCCAAGAGGCGGTCACTTGGGGCTGCACAGGAAGTCGCTGCCGCCTCCGGGGTCCCGGCGAGGTGGAATGCCCTGGGCTCAGTGCTCCCTCCTCATGCCTGCCTTGCACCGTACTGGGGATGCGGTGGGGATCACACACACACACACACACACACACACACACACACACACACACAC